GGGCCCTCTTGGGCCGCCATCGGGGCATCTTGAGCGGCTCGGAGCCGTCTTTGGGCCGTCGGGGCGGCCTCCGGCGCGTCTCGGAGCCGTCCTGGGGCCGCCGGGGCGGCCTTTGGAGCGCCTCGGAGCCGTCCTGGGGCCGCCGGGGCGCCGAGAGCCCCGCTCTTCCCGACCCTTCCCGCACGCACGTGCTCCTGCAATGTAGTAGAGATGACGTTGGGCTCCAGCTTCGCCTCCCACATCTCACGGAGCACTGACAACGCGTGTTGCCATTGCCCGCCTTTTCTGCATGCGCTGACAGTCGCAACGTAGTGGCTTGGGACGAGTTGCACACCCAATTGAATTCCTTCGCGGAGCAACCGCAGTGCGGCGCTCCATTGTTTTGTCAGGCCGCAGTTCTTGATCGACGCTTCGATGGACATAACGACTTCTTGAGACGATCCAGAACGACAAAGCACCAGGGCTTGTGCCAAAATGGCTTGGACACCATGGCTTGAGCCAAAATGGCTTGAGCCAAAACGGCTACGGAGGAGGAGGAGGAGGAGGAGGAGGAGGAGGAGGAGGAGCAGGAGCGAGAGGAGGAGGAGGAGCAGGAGCGAGAGAAGGAGGAGGAGCAGGAGCAGGAGGAGGACGAGGAGGCGGAGGAGGAGGAGAAGGAGGAGGAGGAGGAGGAGTAGAAGGAGAGGATGAGGAGGAGCAGGAGCAGGAGGGGCAGGAGGAGGAGGAGCAGCAGCAGCGGCAGCAGCAGCAGAAGGAGCAGGAGGAGGAGGAGAAGGAGGAGGAGGAGGAGGAGCCTAGGAACAGGAGGGGGACGAGGAGGGGAAGACGAGGATGGAGGAGGGGATGAGGAGAGAGGAGGCGGAGGAGGAGGAGGGAGGAGGAGGAGGAGAAGGAGGACGAGGGGGAGGAGGAGGAGGAGGGGAGGCGGCGGAGGAGGAAGGCGGCGGAGGAGAGCGAGGAGGAGGGGGAAGGCGGAAGGTAGGGCAGGGGCGGGGAGGCTGTGAGGCGGAGAAGGAGGCCGCGGGGGCGGCGGGCGGAGGCGGCGGAGGGGTAGATGGCGGAGGAGGAGGGGAGGAGGCGGCGGGAGGAGGAGGAGGAGGAGGAGGAGGAGGGGCGGAGGAGGAGGAGGAGGAGGCGACGGCGGAGGCGGGAGGCGGAGGAGGAGCGGAGCAGGAGAGGAGCGGAGCAGGAGCAGGGAGGAAGGTGGTTGAGGGGGAGAGAAGAAGGAGGAGGAGAAGGACGAAAGGGGGAGGAGGTAGGAGGAGGAGGAGGAGGTAGGAGGGACGAGGAAGAGGCGGAGGAGGAGGAGGAGGAGGAGCTAGAGGAGGAGGGGGACAAGGAGGGGGACGAGGGGCGGGGAAGACGAGGAGGAGGAGCGGAGGAGGAGGAGGAGGATGAAACAGGAGGGCGAGGAGGAGGAGGAAAGGAACAGGCGAGGAGAAGGAGCAGGAGGGGGAGAGAGGAGGAAGCAGGCGAAGCAGAAGAGGCAGAGATGGAGGCGGAGAAGGCGGAGGAGGAGCAGAGGAGAAGCGAAGGAGGAGGAGGAGGAGAAGGGGCGGAGGAGGAGGAGTAGGGGGAGGAGGAGGAGGCGGAGGCGGTGGAGGAGGAGTAGGAGGAGGCGGAGGAGGAGGGGAAGCCGGAGGGAGGAGGAGGAGGAGAAGGAGGAGGAGGAGGAGGAGGATGAGGAGGAGGAGGAGGAGGAGCAGGAGGAGCAGGAGGAGGAGGAGGAGCAGGAGGAGTAGGAGGAGAAGGACGAGGAGGGGGGGACGACAAGCTAGGTGCGCTCGCGTCATATCTGACATCCTGCCCCTCCCTCCCATCCCTTACCATGGCCCAGATCACCTCTCTACTCGCTCAGTCGGATGTCGAGCAGGGCATTGATCCCGAAAGGGTACGCGATGCATTGTAAAGCACGGCATGGCATGGCGTAGAAGAGCACCGCAAAGCGTAGCATCAACCTAGCATTGCATTGCATGCCGTGGCATGGCACGGGAAATGACGCCAGCGCTGCAGCGAGAGCACGAGTCGAAACGAGCGGAAGCGCGGAAATGAGACCAGCGCTGCAGCGGGAGCACGATTCGGAACGAGCGGAAGCACGGAAATGAGGCCAGCGCTGCAGCGGGAGCACGATTCGGAACGAGCGGGGCCCGAAAAACAGGCCGGCGCCTCAGCGAGAGCAGCATTTTGACAAAAAATGCAGGCGAAAACCCAACTCTGGGGAAACCTGTTGTGCAAAAAAACAATAATTACGCGAGGGGGGTCGGCCACTTTCAAACCGTCATCAGGGGAAGAGGGAGAGTAGTACTCATATTGAATAATTGTGGAGGGGGAAGACGATGAGGAGGAGCAGGAGGAGGAGGAGGAGGAGGAGGACAAGGAGGGGGAGCAGGGAGGAGGGAAAGGGGGAGGAGGAGGAGCAGCAGGAGGAGGAGGAGGAGGAGGAGCAGGAGGAGGAGGAGGAGGAGCAGGAGGAGGAGGAGGAGGAGGACGACGACGAGGAGGAGGAGGAGGCGGAGGAGGAGGAGGAGGGACGAGCTTTTCTCCAAAGAGAGAAACAGAGGGAGGGGACCAAAACTGAAGACCTCCTCAGGATAAATCTGAAGTCTCCGAGATCCTGATCTGGGGCTTCTGGAGGATGCATCGGGCGCCGTGGCTTTCCCACAGCGTCCCGGGACGCCCCCGGAACGGTCGGAGACGCTCTGGGAACGATTCATCACGGTCCTGGGCCCCTCCTGGGCCGCCCGCTTTCCTGCGCATCCGCCGATACAAAACGCTCTCAGTCCGCGGCCCCAGCTCCCGGCCGCTGCCCCGGCTCGTTCCGGATCCATCGCGGATGGCCCTGGGGCCCGAAAGTGGACCCCTGGGGCCGAAGCCGAGGAAAGACGCGGGGGTTAGAAGAAAAAACCAGATGAACAGAAACTGCTGGCGCTCCGCGCGGATTCCTTGGATTCGCGCTGGACCCCCCTCCCTGGCACGCTCCGCGCGCCAGGAGCGGCGCCGGAGGCACCGCTGGGGGGCCCAGGCGCGGCTCCAAGAAATCCTCGCGGAGCGCCGCAAGTGTATGTTTGCGTGGCTTCTTCTTCTTCTTCGAGGAAAGACGCGGGGGTGGGGGAAAAAACATCGTTGGAGATCTGGGAGCTGAGCAGGGACCAACCGCCCCAGCATTCCTGTAAGCCTACCACGGAATGCTCTTAGAGCCCAAAAATGTTCTGAGAACAAGACCAGTGTTCTCAGCACAGAAACCCGATGTGCTAAAACGAAATAGTCCCAGCCAGAAATGCTCTACGGGAACATTTCGTGGAAGCCACATGAGGTTCTTAGCATATTTATCGGTAGGCCTTTGAGGCACGCCAGGACGCTTCGCCACTGCTTGCGGGAGGGCACCCCGCCCAGATCCCCCTCCCAGCGCGAGGGTGCCGTGGGCTCGCCGTGCCCATCCGCCGCTCGCCCCCCCCCCCCCTCTGGCCGCCGGAGCCCCCGGCATCCGATGCTTAGGTCGGGCATGTCCCCCTACAGGGAGATTTTGGGTGGAAAATTAAGCATTGTCCAAAAAAAGACCCTCAAAATGTTCAAAAATACTCCAAAAAATAGTCCCCTGACTATTTCTTACTCCAAAAAAATCCCCTGACTATTTCTTGACTATTTTTGAATATTCCTCCTGTACAGGGACAGGCCCGACTTAATCCGATGCCCTGCTGTCCTCGGCACGGGGTCCCCGGAAGCCCCGACCAGTTCGCCACTTGGCCGGGCGCGGGGGGTGCGCAGGGGACCTGGAGATCCAGCGCATTGAAAAAATCAAGGCGGAAGTTTTTCGCCCTTTTCGGCCTCTAGGGGCCCTCGCCAGGCCCCAAGACCGTCAAAAACGACCCAGGATAAAAAAAACAGTCCTGGGTAAGGGGTCGGGACCTCCGGGGACCCCGTATTGAAAAAATCACGACGTCGGATCTCTGGGCATAGGGGGCCATCAGTGGATGCCAGGGTGGGTTACATCTGGCCTTACCTAGCTTACCAATGGCTTCCTCACGAATGCCTCCGGTGGCTCCGGGAGTTGGACAACTCCAGCCAGGACGGCGGAGCCCACTTGGCCCGGATCGCTGAGCCCCCGATGCCACTTCTGGAAGTTGTGACCCACTTAGAATCCGGGTTAAGCCCACCTTGGCATGCACTACAAAACACCCCTATGCCCTCAGCAACCCCCGCCCGCATCCATCCCGACAGGGGGACTGGCCTTTCGTCCCGAGCGTCGCGGCCCGTCGAGGGTCCCCGGAGGGACCGAAAACTGCCAAAACCACCCCGACGCGATCTTGTCTCAGGACGCGAGGGTGCCTGGTTTGGGGGGGCCCCCACTCGGGCCTCCGGCGGCCCTTCGGGCCGGTTCGGCCACCCCCGAAACGCTCTCGGCGAGGCGCAGCCGCTGGAAAGCACCCTGCGGCGAGAAGACCTCCAGGAACCACTGAGAAGCTCCCGAAGCCCTGAGATACGACGCAGACGCCCGCCCTGCCCCCGCGTCGCTTCGCTGGCGGCCCCGGGGGCCGCCGCGACTGCTGCTGCACGACGCGAGGATGCCTGAGGAGGAGGAGGAGGCGGAGGAGCACGAGGAGGATGAGGAGGAGGAGGAGGAGGAGGAGGAGGAGGAGGGAGGAGGAGGAGGAGGAGGAGGAGGAGGAGGAGGAGGAGGGAGGAGGAGGAGGAGCCTGGGTCGAGACCCCCTCGAGACGCCAGGGCCTCCAGGGCGCGCCGTGCCCGCGCGCCGCCCGCCGCTCACCGCTCGCCCCCCCCCCCCGCCACCCCGGGCCGCCCCCCACGACACTTTCGGGTCCAGTCTGGTCTCCTCCTCCTCCTCCTCCTCCTCCCCTCCTCCTCCTCCTCCCCTCCTCCTCCTCCTCCTCCTCCTCCTCCTTCCTCCTCCTCCTCCTCCTCCTCCCCCTCCTCCTCCTCCTCGTCGTCCGCCTCCTCCTCCGCCGCCTCCTCCTCCCCCTCCTGATGAATGATGGGGGCACCCCGGGCCTGCAGCACCAGCGCCTCGAGCTCGCCGCCCGCGCCGCCCGCGCCGCCCTGGCGGAGCGCCTGGGCCCCCCACCACGGGGCAGAGGAGCAGGGGAGCCCACAGATTACCAGCCTGGAACATATCCCTATCCCTATGCTGGGCATCTCCTCATCACGATGCCAATCTTAGGGATTCCCTTTTTGAGGGCGCATCCCTAAGATTGTCATCGTTTTTTGGCATGTCGATCTTAGGGATAGGGATATGCTCGAGGCTGGTAAACAGAAGACGCGCGCGCGCCCGAACGTGCACACGTTAACACGGCCCCCTCGCTCCGCGAGGCCCGCCGCGGCGGATGTGGGACGCCCGCGCAGGCAGAGGAAGACCGCTGGCCTGCCGCCCGCCTGCTGCTGCCTTCCCTGCCGGCGTGCATCGCCGCCGCCGCCGCCGCCTGCTCTGGCTATCGCCGCTCGCTCGCTCGCGCGCCCCTGGGTGCGCGGTCGGGCGCTTCGACGAGCGGAGGCGTACCCGTGGAGCGCGAGACGCCAAAACGCAGGTAGGGAGGGGGGCTACAGCGACAGGCAGTCGCGCAGCTATGGGCTATGGGCGTCCCTGAATTCCGAATTCTTGGAAGATCCATAGCCAGACGACTGCCGCGCGGACCCCACAGTAAACCCGTATAGGAAGGATGCGCGGTAAGGATGCGAGGGCCTTGAAGGCCATGCCGAAGCTTTTCGAGCGGGGCGCGGCCAACGAAAGTGGCCAAGGATGGACCGAGGATACGAGGGTCCAAGGATGCAAGGATACCTTTGGGAAGGTTGCTCATCCTTGCTGTGCGGTTTGACTGTAGCCTCTTCTGGAGCCCTCCAGAGTTCCGGCTTCCCGAAATTCGCTCCCCCGAAGTGTGGGAAAGCCCCCGGCCTTGGGAAAACGGTAATTTCCCGAGGGTCTCTAGGTTTCCGGGAGGGAGGCTAAACTTAGGTCGGGCATGTCCCCCTACAGGCGGCTTCCGGGCGAAAAATAAGAGAAACTCAAAAATAAATCATTTAAAACAAGTCCCCAGGCTATGTTTTGACTATTTTTGGATAATCCGCCTGTAGAGGGACAGGCCCGACGTAAGGCTAAACGACACACCAGTCATGGGATCACGTTCTGTCGCGGTTGGCACGGGCGTGCCCAACTGTAGGCACCGTTCATGCGATCATGCCCCAGGAGCCCAAGGAAAGAGCACCGCGTCGCGGTCGATGCAACTGCGCCAAAGACAAGCACACACACACACACAACCAGACGTGCGATCCCGCCCTCAAGAGCCACAGCGCGAAGCACACCGCGCCGTCGCCGAGGCATCCCTGTGGAGAACATGAGGCAGAAGGGAGGCTGGGAGGGAGGCACTCAGGATCCACCCAGCGCGGGAGCTACAGTCGGGGCGTTGACCTAAGGAACCCTAAATAAGGAACGAGGCTCCTTTTTTCCATAAGTTAAACTTCGATTTCCGATCGGAAACATAAGGAAAACCTGAGGCAAGCTGTAAAACACTTCAGGAACGCGGAGCCCCTCCCCAACAAAAAGGGTTCCTTAGGTCAACGCCCCTACTGTACGGTCAGGGACTTCTGCTCAGCGCGTCGCCCAAAAAGGCTCTCTGGCCCACCGCGCTTCGGCGCCACGCGCCCACCGCGCCCCGCCTGCCAGGAGCCCGCGCACCGAGCCCCACCTCCGAGCCTCCCGCCCTGCGGCGCGGAGCCACACGCTGCCCGCTCGCATGGCACACGCGTGCCGCTGGGGCCGCTCCTCCTCCTCCTCCTCCTCCTCCTCCTCTCCTCCTCCTCCTCCTCCTCCTCTCCTCCTCCTCCTCCTCCTCCTCCTCCTCCTCCTCCTCCTCCTCCTCCTCCTCCTCCTCCTCCTCCTCCTCCTCCGGCGGCGCGCCTGGGGGAGAAGTGCAGGAGGAGGAGGAGGCCTTCTCGGCAGGCGGCGGGGCTCCTCAGGAGCCCCCTGGCCTCCTGAGAAAGTCCCCCGGCGCCTTCCAGGACGCCTCGCAGAAGGCCCGCGGCCCTCGGAGCCTTCCGAGAAGGCAGCCCCTTCCCACTTCGAGGCCCCAGGCTCGCCACCCGAAAGGGAGGTCCCGACCGCTTCCCCGGGGGCAGTTCTGCGTCCAGGGTCCATTTTTGATGGCCACGGGGCCCGAAAACGGTCCCCGAGGGCCGACATCGAGGATCCCCACCAGGATTGACAAAAATCATATCGTCGGAGATCTGTGCTTGCTGCCGTAGCCCGCAGGGGGGGAAAGGAGGACGAGGAGGAGGAAGAGGAGGAGGAGGAGGAGGAGGAGGAGGACAAGTGCAAGCCCAAGACTCAGCAACGATGTTGGAATAAACCCTCCCTCCAAGCTCTCTTCATGGGCTCCTCCAAGGGTTCATGTCCACTAAGGGAACTGCCTCGTTGGGATGCTAGAGTTGAAATGCCCTGAATCGTGCCAAAACACCATTCTCGGAACTCCAACCTGACTGTGGCGTCTTGACGATCGTGAATCGTGCCAGAATGCCATGCCTGGGCCTTCAACACCGCGAATCAACTGAATTGTTGCGCCCTCATAACCTTGAGCCCTTCCAAAAACACCATCTATGGTACGTAGACCATTGGAAACCGTGAAGCTCTAGCAAATGTTTAAGACGAGTGTGCGCGGCGCTTCGGCGAGAGCTACACTTTGAAAAGGACACACCCTCAATCCGCAGAGCTCTTTCAAATGTTGAACACGAACGCGCGCGTCGCTGAGGCGAGAACCACATTTTGAAAACCACCCGCACTCAGCCCGTGAAACTCTTGCAAATGTTTCAAACGAATGTGCGCGGCGCTGAGGCGAGAGCCACATTTTGAAAACCACCCGCCCTCCACTGTGAAGCTGTTGCCAATGTCTAAGCTTCAGAGCCATAAGTGGTGAGGAAGTCTCAGGCAAAACGCCAGGCTCTTCCTTTCGACCGGCCTCGGGGTGCGACAGTGAGGTGTTATTCATGAGGAATGGAGGGAAAGAAGGAGGAGGAGCAGGAGGAGGACGACGAGGAGGAGTAGGAGCAGAAGGAGGAAGAGGGGGAGAAGGAGGAGGACCAGACGCCACAATCTTAAGATTACAGTCCGCTCGACGTCAAAAACGGAGGAGGAGGGGGAGGAACAGAAGGCCTTTCTCAGCGGGGCCTCCCCGAACGCGCCGCGACGGTGCGAGCTCGCGCGCGGGCCGGGCGGGGGGGGGGGACCCTCCCAGACGTCCCGGCGCCTCGAGGAGACCGAGGCGGCCCTGGCTGGTCGCCGCGTATTCGCGGCGAGAGCAGGCGCAGCGGAGGGGGAGGGGCAGGGGAGCGGGGGGCAGAACGTAGCGCCCCCGCCCCCCACCGTGACAGGCTGTGGTGCCTCACGCAGTGCGGCAGTGCCAAGAACGCACCGAGGGGAGGGGGTGGAGCGCTACGATCCGGGAGGGGGGGGGGAGGTGGGGAGGGCAACGCGCGTAATGGCCCAGAGGGTAAAACACACACACACACACACAAACATACTCTCTCATGCCCCGCGGCGGCCGGCTTCGGGCCTCGGGAACGTCAAGGAACGACCAGTCACGCAGCCTCGGCTCCATCGGGGGTGTGTAGTGTTAGCTCGGGCATGTCCTCCTACAGGGGGATCTTGGACGAAAAAAAGAAATGAGTCCAAAAACATTCAAACATGCTCAAAATATATTCAAAAAAATCGTCCCCTGACTAATTTTGACTATTTTTGAATACTCCTCCTGTAAAGGGACACGCCCGACTTCAGTGTAGTGACCGAACCTGCGCCCGAACATCTGCCCGACCGTGGCGCCGAAATCAACGCCGGAACTGTCCCGACCACTCCGAGGCGCGACCGAAGTTCTTGGTTCGAAGCCACAATGATCCTCAATGTCGGTCACACGTTCGGCCACACTGCGTTCTCGGCAATAATTTCGGGCACGTTCTCGGTCACCGATTCGGTCACACACATTTGCGGCTGGCAGGGGCCGTCGAGGAACGACCAGGGATGAAAGGCCCGGCCGAGGAAGGGGTCCAGAGGCCCCGGGGCACATGCACCAACGAGGTCGGAGCGCCGGACGTCTGAGCTCACGCGCAGGGCTGGGCCCCGAGGCTCAGATGAGGAGCAGGCCCTCGCTGGAGAGGGCGCCCTTCTGGGGAAGCCAGAAACATACCGATGACGCTACAGTCAGGTCGGGCGTGTCCTCCTGCAGGGGGGAGGGAAAAAAGAAATAGTCCACAAGTACACCCCAGAATACTAAAAAATATTAGAAAAAGATCATCCCCCGATTATGTGTTGACTATGCTTGAATATTCCTCCTGTAGAGGGACAGGCCCGACTTAACACTACAGTGTTAACGTGGGCGCAAGGACGTGCGCCGATAGAACATGCGCCCCTTCGCCGAGGAGAGGCTCCACGGAGATACCCAGAACGGCAAGCATCACACGCTGGAGAGCCCCAGCACGAAGAACCTGAGAGGGGCCCTGGGACACACAAACAGATAGACACAGATCCCAGGATCCCCCATATGGTTTCCCATGTCTTGTGGGTTTCTGTCTTCCCCCCACTTCCCATCTGTTCCGTATTTTCCGAGGGATCAACGATCAATGGTGTCTGTGTGTGTTTTTCCTTCCAAAGGGAGGGTTTTTCTTCACCCTCGTGCCAGCTGTACTCCCGGACCTCTCCTGGGATGCGTTCTGACCAGGATCTCGAGGCGAATCCAGCCGTGGCGACGAGGGCCTCCCAGGAGGCCGAAAAGGCGAAAGCGAAGCGGGTAGTGGTATGAGTACTTCGAGGCGGCCGAAGGGTCTGCTCTGGAAAGGCACCAGGAAGACCAGTCAGGAGGGGAAAGGGGGCAACCTCGGCATCCAATGCCCATGTGGAGAAAGCGGCCCAGAGGGGACAAGGAACGACACCCGTGCACAACGGTTCCTCCCCCCTTTTCTCGCTGGAACCACTTCGGGGGTTGCTGAGAGTGCCACTGGCCCGAAGTGCTCCCAGCTTCTCGCCAAACTTTCGAGCACCTGGGGCCCTCTCGGTGTGCTCTGGAGGTCGTGGCCGCGGGGCCTCCTCGGCAGTCCTGGGGGGCACACTGGGCCAGGGGCACTTCTGGCAACACCCGACCACCGACCCCAAATCCCCAACGTCATGATTTTGTCACAACGTCGACCCCCAAAGGTCTCGAACCGTTCCACAGCACGGGCTTCCCAACCCCAGTCGTTGGTTGACGGTCCCGAGGCCGGGTGAGTGCCCCCCGAGGCCGAAAATAGCGAAATACCTCCAGCCGCGACTCGTCATAACCCGAGGGGGTCTGGGACCTCAGCCGCCCAGCCGGCTCCAAAGCGGTGCCTGTTCCTCCTCTGGACAGATAGGCGCCCTTTCGCCCCCAAGCGTGTGCAGGGCGACGCCAGGAGGGCGCGCAAGGGCCGCACGGGCAACGCGAGCCATCGCACGAAAGTGTTTTGCACCCTTCCGGACGACATGGGCAATGCTCGCGCGACCACTTCTCGCGGAGAGGCTGCCGGCACCGCGCGCTTCGCGCCGGGCACCCAGCCAGAGGCACGGAGCGCTGCCCTCTTCCCATAGATGCGACGTCGTGATTATATCAATACGGGGTCCCTGGAGGTCCCGACCCCTTCCCGGGGACTTGTTTTTCATGCGGAGTCGTTTTTTGACGGTCCTGGGGCCCGGCGAGGGCCCCTAGAGGCCGAAAAGGGCGAAAAACCTCCGTCTCGCTTTTTCAATGTGCTGGATCTCCAGGTCCCCTGCGCACCCCCCGCGCCCGTCCCAGAGGGGAACTGGTCGGGGCTTCCGGGGACCCCGTGCCGAGGACACCAGGGCATCGGATGAAGTCGGGCCTGTCCCTGCACAGGAGGCATGATCAAGAATAGCAAAGGAATAGTCGGGGGACTACTTTTTTGAGTACTTTTAACCATTTTGAGGGCACTTTTTTTGACAATGCGTTCGATCTCCTCCCGGCCTTCCCCGGCGGGGGCCGGCGCGCCGGGGACGCCGGCGCGAGCCGCAGCGGGGGCGCGCCCTGGCCGAGGTGAGCCCCCGCGGGCGGCGGCCACGCCACGGGGGCGGCCGGCTGCTGCACTGCTGGACGCCGTCGGGGGACGCCGGCTGGCCACTCCTCCCCCTCCTCCCCCTCCTCCCCCTCCTCCTCCTCCTCCTCCTCCTCCTCCTCCTCCTCCTCCTCCTCCTCCTCCTCCTCCTCCTCTCCTCCTCCCCCCTCCTCCTCCTCCTCCTCCTCCTCCTCCCCCTCCTTCTCCTCCTCATCCTCCTCACCTTGCTCCTGGCGTCTCGGAGTTTTGGAGCCAAGCGCTTTCGCCCGTGTTTTCGGGGGGTACTCCAAATCCCTCATTCATCAACCTCCCCTAAAAAGAACCGGACCCCCTCCAAATGCGAACTAATATTCTGGACCCCCCTCTTCGACGGAGCGCCTTGATAAACCGGACTCCCTAAGCTCCAATCCAAAGAAAGCGCCCTAACAAACCGGACCCCCCAATTACAAAAAAGGCGCCTTAAAAAACCGGACCCAGGGGACGATTGATAAGGGATTTGGAGTAGGCTCGAGGGCGAGAAGGCTCGAGGAGGTTCGAGGAGGTTCGAGGTTTGAGGTTCGCGGGCGTTTTTGGCGGTCCTCGGCGGTATCCCAGTCTCGGGATGCGTTCCAGCAGCTGCGCCTCGCCGAGAAGCGTCCAGGGTGCTTGGATTGTCCCGAAAGGAAGCCGGAGGCCCACGTTATGAGCCAAAAGCCATATCTGGGCGCTGTAATTGTTTCAAGCCAGGCATTTTCGCCCGTTTTCGATCAAGCCCCAGGACCATCACGGATTGATCCGGTTGGAAAAATGGTGCAGAACGTCTGGGGCCCCGAGCTCCCACCGCGGTTTTCGCGATCGCGGCGTGGGATCCCTGCGAGGCGGGAATAGATCCATATCCACCGCCTGGGAACCGACGCCCTGGTGCCCCGGCAGGCGGTGGATATGGATATACTTTGGCCCCCGGGGGCCCGACAAAAATCCATATCCACCGCCTGTGGAGGTCCGCGAAGATCGACCCCCCAGGCGGTGGTTATGGATAGACTCCCGCCTCGGAATCTCCAGAGGTCCTGGCCAGACCCGCGGGCCGACCCTGGGCCAGAGGGCGGCGCCTGGGGCCCCGAGACCCCCCACGCGCCTTTGAGGAATCGCAGCGGGCCTCGGTCTCTGCAGAGGGACCATCGAAAGACGACTCTCAAAGAAAAGCCCGCCCTGGGGAGAGAGGGTGGGGACTTCCAGGGGCCCCGCAGGGAAAACAGTGAGCAAAGAAAAAAGAAAAACAAAAAAACAGCGGATGCCTGGGCAGGCCGCCAGGGCGAATCTGGGCCCAAGATCGGAGCCCACACCAAGCCAGGATTAGGTCGGGCGTGTCTCCCTACAGGCGGATCTTGGGAGAAAACAAAATAAAACATAAAACAAAAATCCCCAAATGCAAGAAAATGATCGAAAATAGTCGGGAAATCGTCCTCTGACTATATTTGTAACTAATTCGAATATTCCTCCCGACTGAAAGCCAGGAGCAGGAGGGCGTGCCCTGAGCTCCTTGCGTTGCACTTTTTGTCCTAGCCGGGCATCTTCGCCCAGCTTCGAGAACCTATGGACCATCACAGATCGATCCGGCTTGGGACCTGCTGCAGGCAGATGGGAACCTGGGCTGCGGTCGTGCTTTCCCACGATGCTGCAATGTTCGAGGGGAACGAAAGGGGGGGATAGCAAAGGGTAGGGTAGAGAATCAGCTCACGTAGCTGATGTTCCCAGCGCCTCCCGGCGCCACGAGGCGTCCATGTATCGAGGAATGGGCCTGGCGGCGGGGCCGAAACCAGCTGCATGCAGCAGATTTCGTAACCCCCCCTTTCTCTATCCCTCCCTTTCGTTCGGCCCGAAATGTTGTCCGCGGTCCGCAGCTTTGGATCTCAGGGTATGTGTGCCGCCCTGGCCAAGCCAGGCCAAGAAGGCGTGCCCAGATCACCCACGCAATCCCTTTTGAGATCGTGGGCCCCCAAGGGTCTGGACACTTTCCCATGGACCAGCTTTTCATCCTGAGCCGTTGTGTGACGGCCCCGAGGGCCGGCAAGGGCCCCCGGGACCCTGACCCGTGAAAATTGGAACTCTCCAGTCGCGACCGAAGAGGTCGGTCGCTGCCGATTTTGCTTAGAATGCCGGTCTCGGTCGCGACCGCTTCTAAATCGGTCGCGACCGATTTGGGAATCGATCGTCGCAGTTGCTCTACGACGCACGGGCCCAGCATCGGCCTGGCACTTGGCCCGGTGCGGTGGCCCGCTGGCGCCCCCCGAAGCTGGCGCTCCCGCTGCGTGGGCGCCGCCGCCGCTGCCGCGGCCGCGGGCCGCTGCAGCGGCTGCGGCGCGGCGAGGCCCGCCGCGGCCGCCTGCTGCCTCGCAGCCGCAAGGCCCCACAGCCGAGGCTGCGCCGCCGCCGCCTGCGGCTCGCGCCCGTCGGCTGCGGCGCCCGCCGCTGGCCTCCGGGCGCCCGGGCTCAGGCCGCGCCGCGCCGCCGCCGCGACGGGCACGGGCGCCGACGGCCCGGCGCCGCAAGGCGCCGCAGCCGCCGCGAGAGCGGGGCGCGGCGAGAGCGCGGCAGCCGCCGCCGCCGCGGCGGGCCAGGCCGCGGAGGTGCTGGCGGCCGCGGCGCCGCCCGGCCCCTGCGGCACACCGACGCCTGCGGCCCAGGGCGACCTGGGCCGCTGCTCCGGCGAGGCGGCGGCAGCGGGCAGGGCCCCGCCGCGGCTCGGCGGCGCCGCCGGCAGCGTGGCGATGGTCACCGGCCTGACGCCTGCAGCAGCCCGCGCCTCCGTGGCTGGCGGCGTGGCGACAAGCCGCCGCAGCGGCGCGGGCGCGGGCGCCGTCTCCGCCGCCGTGGCCACCAGCCGCCCGTCAGGCGCGGACTCCCTCGCTGGCGCGTGCAGAGCGGAGGGCCAGAGGCCTGCTCGCGCGGCCGCGGCCGCGGCGGCGGCCTCCGCGCCCTGCGCCCACGCGGCCTCCGCGTCGAGGGCGGCGGGCGCGGCGGGGCGCGCGCCGCAGTCGAGGGGCTCCGCGTCCACGACGCGCAGCGACCCGGCGAGCGAGGTGCCGCCAGAAAGCGCCCTGCCCGCGGTCTCGAACTTCTGGGCGGCCTGCTCCGCGCGGACGACCATCTGCTCCGCCAGTTCCTCCATGTCCAGGCGCCGCACCTTCAACGCCGCGTTCTCGGCTCGCAGCTCCGCGATCTCCAGGGAGAGCGCGCTCGGGGCCTCTGACAGGACGCTGCAATCCAAGCCCCACTGCTGAGAGCCTGGGCTAGAGCGCCCGGCCGAGAGCCTGTCGAGCGTCTGGCCCTTGCTTTGCCGCAGCCTCTCCACAATCTCCTATTGCGCGGGCGACACCAATACACCACCACCACTGGCCTGGGCCCCACGAAGGGCTGTGCATTCGTCCCGGGGACCAGGACCCAGACATCCTGAGTCGCGTTTCTTTCGCAACGTGGCTCCCCACAGGCCTGGGCCCCTACGGCGGTGGTGGCACGGTCTATGAAGCCCTCCAGGCTGAGGCCAGGAGGCGCCATACACCATCCTTAGGGAGAGGAACAGCGGCACAAACATAAACTGTCGACGATCGACGCGGATGTCGTGGTTTTGAATTGGACCCCCCTCCCTGGCGCGCGGAGCGCGCCTGAGGCGCCGCCATGGGGGTCAAAGGCAGATCTAAGAAATTCGCGCGGACCGTCGAACGCTCGTCGTAGCATTATTATTTGGAATAGGTGTCGTGCCCTTCCTGTTCCCGACAGGTCCGCCAGCGTGTGCCCGAAGCAGTGCGCCTCTACTAGCATGTGTTGTGCAATCGATGTGATGCAGTATATGGTGTGCGAAAGCTGCGATGCAATATATATATATATATATATATATATAAAAAAATATAAATATATATATATATATATATATTGGGGAGAGAGATGTATGTGTAAATATGTATAGATGAATATATGCTTATATGTATATACACATATATATGGTGCAACCCATGATGCGCAATATCTATGTTGCCCACTCCACGTGCTGCAATACACGTTGCGCCATCCACGTCGTGCAAGTCCCATTCTTCATGTGTTGCAAGCTATGTGGTGCTCTACGTGGTGCGGTCTACTTACGCAGGACGAAAGAGATTCCTCTTGAGGTGAAAACGGCGATCCTGGGAAATTGATAACCGAACCCTCCTTCCCTTATAAAATCTGAATACGGGCAAATTGCGCTTGCGGGGTCCGCGGGTACGTTTTCTACCGGTTGCAGGTTGTAAGCGAATAGTATAAACTTAAGACGGGGTGAATATCGGATCCGTGGGAAAAAATACGGGCATCGGATCCAGAACATCCGAAATCGGATCCGTGCGGGCAGAAATCGGATTCACCGAAACACCAACAGCCCATACGCGTCGGCCCAAGACTTCAAAACGTCGTTCTGGCCCCAGGAGGAAAAACAACATTCGTCTTAGATGCACGTGATGCGATATATGGTGTGCAATCTACGTGGTGCGATCTACTTGGCGCAATCTGTGTGGTGCACCATACATTCTGCGTTCGATGGAAAGCAAGATGGCATGCAGTCCACGTGGTGCAATCTACGCGGTCCAATATATGTTGTGCAATCTATGTGGTGCAATCTAAGTGGCGCAGTCAATGTGACGCAGTCTACGTTGTGCTATCTATGGGGTGCAATGAACTGTTCTTCCTGCTGAATTGTCCTCCCCATTGCTCGCGGAACCATCCCACCCACCCACCCGCAACTTGGTTTACAAACCCATGCGGCGGCGATTGCGATGAATGCCTCGAGTTGGCTGGTGCATCTCTGCAGCCGCGCTAGCCCGCGCATGCTCGCGACCGACGCGGCGGCGGTGGCGCTGACCGCTGGACAATTCGCAGCGGGCAATTCAGTGCGAGTCGGCGACTTGGGCGGGCCCGGTATCATGGCAACGTCGACATCCGTAGACACGGTGATGATAGTCGCGATTTTCGCGACGATGGTTACAACGACGACGGCAAGGTCAGTGACGGCGCCGATGCTGATCACGCCGACGACGGTGCCGGCGTCCTCGCGTCGGCGATGAAGGTTTTGGAGGGAGATGGACGCGCGCGCGCGGCCGACGCGAGAGAGTGACCCACATGGTATTCTTTGACAAGGGCTGCGCCCCCCCAAGCACGCGCGCAAAGGCCCGTTTGGACGAATTCTATGAATTATGTTGGAAAGCCGGTGATTTTCTTAAGAATTCGCGGGAGCGCGAGCGCAAGCATTTTTTGAAAACTGATGTGGTACAACCATGATTCGAAAATCCCTACGACACCTCGGTTTGTTGAAGGATTCCAGCATGCGCGCGCGACGACGCGCACGCACTTCGTCCCATTTTGTGCCAGGGATTATTGCGACAGCAAGCGCGCAAGGGCTTTCGAGCGATTCCGACATAAGCGCGCGAGAGGCCCGTGTGGTAGCAACTGATGAAAATGTGGAAAGACTAGGTGCCCTTTAAAATTCGCTAGAGCCAGAGCGGCAGCTTGTTCTGAAAAATTCGCGTTGCGAAAACATATGTTGTTCTATATGCTTTCGGGACACTCAATTTTGAAATCCTTACGAAGCCGACGGTTGCTGATAGATTTCGGCATGCGCGCGCGACGACGCGCACGTGCGCATTTCGTCCCATTTGTTGTCAGGGACTCTTGAACAACTCATGATGCATGATAAACGAGTGCGCGCGCAACCTTGATCTGCAGAGGAGAAGGAGGAGGACGACGACGACGAGGCGGGAGGGCGATGCCAGCCAGCCTGGGATGGTATGCGTGCATATTGAGAGTGGACGATGGAATAGAATCGTATGTCAATCGCCATACGGAAAAAACTACCGTTGAGTCCGTGGGGGGATGTTGATCATATTGCCGTTTGAGGAAGGAGAAATCACCCTGCCGGACTTGAGATTGTCAACTCCAGTGCTCGCGCGACCATCCCAGCCACACACCCACAACTCGGCTTGCAATACCCATGCGGCGGCAATTGCGGTAACTGCTCGGCGCTGGCTGGCGCATCGCTGCGGCCGCGCTAGCGCGCGTGCTAGCTCGCGAAGACGCCAGCTAGTTTGGCGCGACCGACGCGGCCGCGGTGGCGCTGACCGCTGGGCAATTCGCAACGGGCAATTCATCGCGAGTCGGCGAATTGGGCGGGCGCAGCATCATGGCAACATCTACATCGGTAGATCAGATGATGCTGGTAGCGATTTTGGTGACGACGGTGACAACGACGACGGCACGGTCAGTGACGGCGCCGATGCTGATTAGGCCGACGACGGTGCCGGCGTCCTCACGTCAACAGTGAAGTTTTTGGAAGGGGTTCGGCATGCGCGCGCGGCCGACGCGCTTGAGTGGCCCGCATGGTGTTCTTTGACACGGACCGTGCCCCCCAAGCACGCGCGCAAGGGCGTTCGAATGATTTCGACATGCGACGCGAGAGGCCTGTTTGGCCGAGTTCCACGGAAATAATATCTAACAAAAAAAAAAAAAAAAAACGATGGCTGATCTTAAGAATTCGCAGGAGCGCGAGCGCCGGCATTCTTGAAAAGTGGTGTTGCGCAACAATGCGATTTGTAAAATATGTTTGCTGGACACTTGATTCTGAAAGCCCTACGGAACCCACGGTTTTCGAAGGATTCCGGCATGCGCGCATGTCGTCCCGTCTTTTGCAAGAGATTTTTGCGACAGCACGCACGCAAGAGCTGTTTGCGCGATGCCGACATGCGCGCGCGAGAGGCCCGTTTGGTAGCATGTGATGAACATGCTGAAAAAAAAAACCCTGGTTGTCTTAAGACTCTACAAAAGTGCCAGCGCAGGCTTCTTCTAAAACTTCGTTTTGCGCAAACATGTGGTTAAATATATATATATATATATATATATATATATATATAAAAAAAAATATATTCGGGACACTCACTTTTGAAACCCTGACGAACCCAAAGGTGTTTGAAATATTCTGGCATGCGCACGCGACGACGCGCACGCGTGCACTTCGTCACGTTGTTTTGCCAAATATTCTTGGAAACTGCGGATGCGTGATAAACGAGTGTGCGCGCATAGAGCTTTTGAAGAGGATGAGGGGGGGATACCCGTTTAGCTGGGATGGTATGGGGTCATGTTTAGGATGGACGATGGGGCAGAATATGATGCAAATTGCAATACGAAAAGGGATGCCGTTAATTCCGGTGGGGGGAGGGGAAGATCCGAATATGTTGTTAGAAACGAGAATATGAATTGTCTTCACTACGTGGTGACATCTATGTTTCGCAACCCACGTGGTGCAATAGATGAGGTGAAATCAATGTTGTGCGAAGTACGCGGTATAATATACGTGTTGCAAACCACCCTGCCAAACTTGAAATTAGCAACTCCACTGCTCGCCAATCATTCCACCCACCCACCCGCAATTTGGCTTGCAAAACCCATACGGCGGCGATTGCGCTGAGTGTTTGGTGTTGGCTGGTGCATCTCTGCGGCCGCGCTAGCCCACGCATGATCGAGCGCGCAGCGGCTATCTAGTTTGGCGCGACCGACGCGGCCGCGGTGGCGCTGACCGCTGGACCCTTCGCAGCGGGCTTTTCAGTGCGAATCGGCGATTTGGGCGGGCCCGGTATCATGGCAACGTCGACAACGGTAGACACGGTGGTGATAGTAGCGATTTTTGGTGACGATGGTGACAACGACGACGGCATGCTCAGCGACGGCGCCGATACTGATCACGCCGACGACGATGACGGCGCCCTCGCGTCAGTGATGGCGGTGCTGGAGGGAGTTCGGCATGAGCGCGCGGCCGACGCGCGGCCGACGCGCGAGTGGCCCGCCTAGTATTATTTGACACGAATCGTGCCCACCCAGCACGTGCGCAAGGGCGTTCGAATGATTTCGACATGCGGCGCGAGACCTGTTTGGCCCAGTTTCGTGAAAATGTTGAAAACCGATGGTTGCCTTAAGAATTCGCAAGAGCGCGACCGCCGGCACTTTTTGAAAACGGATATTGCGAATACATGTGTTTTGCATGTGTTCGGGGCACTCGATTTCCAAATCCGTACGAAACCAAAAAGGTTGTTGAAGGGTTCCGGCATGCGCGCGCGACGACGCGCGCGTGCACCTCGTCCAGTTTTGTGCCCGGGACTCTTGCGACAGCCCGCGCGCAATGGCGTTCGAGCGATGTCGACATACGCGCGCGAGAGGCACGTTTGGTAGCATTTGATGAACGACGGTTCTCTCAAGAATCTGCAAGATCGCGAGCGCATGCTTTGGTTAAAATCAGTGTTGCGAAGACACGTAATTTGATATGTTTTCCAGGCATTCGATTTTGAAACCCTTACGACACCCCGATGTGTTTGCAGGATGTCGGCATGCGCGCGCGACAACGCGCGCGTGTGCATTTCGTCATTTATTATTGCAAGGGGCGATTGAAAACTGATGATTTGTGATCGACGCAAAGCGCGCTGAATTCTTCTGCATCAGATGAAAGGGGATACCGGCCTGCCTAGGATGATACGAACCCAAATTTGGGAAGGACGATGGGGCAGAATCGTTAATCGCAATACGAAAAGGGGTCCCGTTGATTCCGGGGGGGGAGATCCTAATACTCTGTTAGAATGGAGACTCCATGTGGTAAGTTGAACAATTTAGGGCGGCGACGAGGCCGCGACGGGGCGGCGACGGCGACAACATAGCCGCCAGACCAAACAGACAGGCCAAGACGACGGGGCGGCGACGAGGCGGCGACGGGGCGGCGACGGCGACAATAGAGCCGCCAGACCGACAGACAGACCCAGACGACGGGCGGCGACGAGGCGGCGACTCGGCGGCGACGGCGACAACAGAGCCGCCAGACCGTCGGACAGGCCCAGACGACGGGTGGCGACGAGGCGGCGACGGGGCGGCGACGGCGAGAACATGGCCGCCAGACCGCCAAACAGGCCCATTTCCTGAAAGAAGGGGCAAGAAGCCCAAAAGCGGAAGCACAGATCGGGAAATTGTCTTGTTCTTAGCATTGATAAGCTTGATACATCTGTATTCGGACTGGTCGTCTCAGTACTCTGATTCGTATTCGCTTAAAGCTTTTTCTAGTTATCATCATGAATATTGTGCACTCGTCTTCGTCATACTATTATGACTCTTCTCGTACGGCCTGCGCCTCTAGGCTGCCAGTTCTACTGCCCCGAGAGACCGGCGGGATGCAGCTTTGCTCCATGCGGTCTCTAACGAAATAGCCTCGGCCTCAAATGCGGATCGACACCCTGGCAGAGAAATATCAAAACCTACCCCTGTCTCTCTGTCCACCCCCTGGCAACATGCCAACATTGATGCAAAGTCTGCTGCAAGTGTAAGACAACTTGCCCTATCAGGCAGAGGTAGTTGTCGTACTGCTTGAAGCCTTGGGTCGAGCACAGAATGAATAATTTTCCAACACTGGCACGTTCCAGGCCCGTTGCACGCAACGTGGCTCCAGGCTCTGAAGTGACGGGTGCTTGTGCGTTTCTCTCTGGCCCTGGTGGGCTGCAGCTACTGCTTCTTCGGAGCCGGGGGCCCAGGATAGCCCTTGGCAGGCGCGGTGGTGGTGATGCGCATAAGACGAGGCCAGGACGGGGCTAAAATCGGGTGAGGAGAAATCGGGAATCTCTGAGATCCAGCGGCCCTGGAGGATGTCTCGGGCGCCGCGGCCTTCTCCGAGCGTTCTGGGAAGTTCTGAGAGCGCTCCGGAACGCTCTGGAACGGACTTCTCCTCGTCCCAGGCCCCGTCCGAGAGGAGGAGGAGGAGGAGGAGGAGGAGGAGGAGGAGGAGGAGGAGGAGAGGAGGAGGAGGAGGGAGGAGGAGAGGAGAAGAGAGGAGGAGGAGAGGGAGGAGGAGGAGCCAAGGAGGAGGAGGAGCCAGGAGGAGGAGGAGGAGGAGGAGGAGGAGGAGGAGGAGGAGGAGGAGGAGCGAGGAGGAGGAGCGAGGAGGAGGAGCCAGGAGGAGGAGGAGCCAGGAGGAGGAGGAGCCAGGAGGAGGAGGAGGAGGAGGAGGAGGAGGAGCCGGGAGGAGGAGAAGGGAAGAGGAGGAGCGAGGATGAGGAGGAGGAGGAGGAGGAGGAGGAGCCAGGAGGAGGAAGATGAGGAGGAGGAGGAGGAGGAGCGCTCTGGAACGGACTTGTCCTCGTCCCAGCCCCGTCGAAAGGTGGAGCTGCCTCCTCCCGCGGCGGGCTCCTCGGCCTGCCCCAGCCGCGCCCGGCGCTCCTCCAGCGCCCGCCCCAGCTCCGCGTGCTCCTCGGCGAGCATGCGCTGCTCGGCCCGCACCCGCCCCGCCTCCTGCTCGGCCTGCGCGCGGGCGGCCTCGGGCGGGGGGGGCAGGAATAGAGGGCAAAAGATCGCCCCCCAGAACAACCACCCCGACGAGCGAGGCCGTTTAGCAAAGGCACTCAACGAGGGAATCGAACAGGGCAGGGCTGTTTCGTAAGCGCACATCTGCAAACTTAGCTGCCCAGATACGCAACACACAACCCGTAGCGTGTTGGCATTGAGCTCAACACGTAGGCTGAAAACACAGGTCTGGCGCGGTACGTTCGCCAAGACGCGGGCCAACACGTTGAGCCAGCACGCAGCGTGTGAACACGGACGTCTTGAACACGGTACGTGTTGTTGCCTTTCCAGAGCGGGCGTATCGGGGCAGCCGAGCCTGCAAATCGCGCACGGTGGAACGTTCCACGTCGAAGAAGAGCTGCCAACCTCTCGATCACTCGAGGGCGAGACACTCTCTCAGAAGGAGGAAAAAAACGCTATAAACATAACCTTCTGGCGCTCCGAGAGGATTTCTTGGATCTGCGCCTGACCCCTCTCCCTGGCGCCGGAGGCGCCGCCAGGGGGGGCCCAGGCGCGGATGCAAGAAATCCGCGCGGAGCACCAAAAGATTGTGTTTATGTGTTGTGTTTCTTCTTCGATCTCTGGAGCGCATCGCACGCGGGCACCCCCGCGCAGCACAGCACTGCTTTTAGGTCGGGCATGTCCTCCTACAGGCGGATTTTGGACGAAGAATTAAAATAGCCAAAAAGCATGCAAACTTTCTCAAAAATTGTCAACAACGACAAAAAAAAACAACAAAAACGTCCCCAGACTATTGTTTTTACGGTTTTTGAATCTTCCGCGAGGCGGGGATTTATCCACATCCACCGCCCGGGAACAGACGTCCTGGTGCCCCAGCGGGCGGCGGATGTGGCTAGATCTTTTGGCCCCCGGGGGCCCCGCCTGCCGAGGCCCCCGAGGCCCCCGAAAATGCATCCTCCGGGCGGCGGCCGTGCAGAGCTTCCCGCCTCGGACACTCCTCCTGCGGAGGCACGGGCCCGACTCGAACCCTGCCTCCACCCCGCGCCTCCTCGCGCTCGTGCTGCAGCTCGGCGAGCCTGCCCGCCAGCGCCTCCGCGGGCCCCACCTCCTCGAGCGGGGGGAGCGCCGGGGGGCGGCGGGCCGCCGGCTCTCCGCGGGGGGGGGGGGGGGGCACCTCGGCCTGGGCCCTCGGGGAGGATGGTGGGCGTGTTCTTCCAGCCCCTCCTCCTCCTCCTCCTCCTCCTCCTCCTCCTCCTCCTCCTCCTCCTGCTCCTCCTCCTCCTCCTCCTCCTCCTCCTCCTCCTCCCCCTCCTCAGGTTCCTCCTCCGCCTCCTCCTCCTCCTCCTCCATGTGTTTGACGTTGGCCCCACATAAGCATGGACTCTCAGAAGAGCATTCGGCGTGTCTGGAGGCCTTCCTAGATGGGAACCGAGAAGATGGGATCGGAGGATCTCGCCGCATCACCGATGCATCGGCGATGCATTGCCGATGCATCGGCGATGCATCAGCCATGCACTGGCGACGTCGGCGATGCATCGGCGACGTCGGCGCAAAGAAAATCGCGCCCCACATCGGGCCGAATCGCCGATGCGTCGCTGATGCATCGCCGACGCATCGGCGATGCGGCGCGATCCTCCGACCCAATCTACTCGGACCCATCTAGGAGGCTTAGAGGTTCGACATTGGGCCGAAGGGGGGGGGAGGGGGGGGTTCTGGCTCTGGACCTATGCTTAGTGCGACTGTTTGCAGCAGTGCGTCCGATAGGGGAGGCGCCACCTTCTCGAAGCAGGCGCCAAAAACAGCCAAGATCTACTCCATGGGGGGAGGGGAGGAGGGGGGGGTGCGAGGGCCCGCGCCGATCGGCACAACAATGAATAAACATCGATCACGTAGAACGGTATCCATACCGATGCTCTTCCCTCGTGATCCTCCCTTGGGGCCTACTGGGAGGCCATCGACGCCGCCGCTGCAATCGCTGCGAACTTCTGGTCACAACGCACCCCGCAAGAGAGGTCTGGTGAGCAGCGGTATCGGTACCTGTTGGCTTCCCCAGAGTCGGCGATACCTCGCTGATAGGCCAGCAGTGGGCCCCCGATGGCGCTTCTGCACGCTCCTGGGCGAGATTCGCAATCGAGCCACTATCGGCGATGAATAGGCGATTGGGGTTAAGTCGGGCGTGTCCCCCAACAGGGGGATTTTCGACGAAACAATGAAAATAGTCAATAAAATCCCCAAAAATGCTCAACCCATAAGAAAAATAGTCCCCATACTTTTTGACCATTTTGAATATTCCTCATGTACAGGGACAGGCCCGACTTCAGACTGGGGGTCGATGCGCCCCCCCCCCGAGCTTATGCCCCCCGTACGTTGCCCCTTGGTCCTCAGAGCCTATAACTCGGCTCTCCGCGGCCGCTCGGGGCGATCCAGGCGCTTCCGAACGCTCCCAGCGAGGCACAGCTGCTCGAAGGCATCCCGAGGCTGGTATTAAGTCGGGCCCGTCCCTCTAAAGGAGGAATACTCAAAAATAGCCACACACAAAAATATGGGGACTATTTTTGGGCATTGTTTGGCCATTTTGGAATCTGTTTGAGCCTGAAGTCGGGCGTGTCCCCCTGCAGGGGGACACGCCCGGCTCAAGGCTGGTAAACCGCCGAGGACCGACGAGAATGCCGAAAAGCCTCGAGCCTCGAATCCAAACACGTGTCCAGGAGAGCGCACAATCTCCCAGAAGGTTCGGCTCGGCCGACATCGGCAGCCGGGTCGGGAGCAAACGGCTCGGCGGAGATCGGCAGGCTAGAGAGGCCTCGATTGAGAAACCGAGATCCGAATCGGAATCCGAAGCCGAATCGAATCGGAAGCGGAACCGATCGACATCGGATCGAATCGAGCCGAAGAGGTCGACACGGGCCCTGCGCTCCCCCCGCGCACTTTTGCCCCGCGACTCCTCCTGCAGCTCGGCCAGCTCGGAGCGCAGCAGTTCCAGCTGCTCCTCACGGGGGAGAGCACAGATGCCGACACCGCGCGTTTGTTTGGCATCGCACTGCACGCGCACTCCACACGCGCGATCCCTGCAGCCAAAGCATCTTTCACAGTTTTAACGCCGGCCTGGATGCGAAACTGCTCTCACACTTCTAACGCCTGCTGCGCCGCACCAGCCCCGTGACATTTGCAGCATCTTGCGCGGCGTGGGGGGATGGTGGGGAGCAGGCGGAGGGGGAGGACAAGCGAAGGGGCAAGGGCGCTGTGCGGGTAACCCCAGAGGCCCAAACGGTCACTTATATAACCAGCAAAAAACACAGCACAATCCAGAGGGGAAGAAGAAGGAGTACCACTACAAACAAAAAATTACAATAAGGATGCACGATAAGGATGCAAGGGCCTTGAAGGCCACGCCGACGCTTTTCGAGCGGGGCGTGGCCATCGAAGGTGGTTGAGGATGGACCGAAAATGACCGAAGAGGCAGGGATGCAAGGGTACCCTTGGGAAGTCGATCATCCTGAATATCGGTTTCGGCAGTACCGCTACTCCACAGTCCCCTCCTGAGGTGTGTGTTCTGTCCAGGATTTCGAAGCGATTCCACCCGTAGGAACGCAGACGGCGGATGGGGCTCAGGCAGCGAGCAGGCAGGAGCAGAAGCGGGAGGATGGGCGGGAGTGAAGGTGGAGGTGGAGGTTCATCCTGTCCTCCTTCTCCTCCTTCTCATCGTCCTTCTCATTCTCCTTCTCCTTCTCCTTCCCCTCCTTCTGGGGAGGAGAAGGAGGAGGAGGAGGAGGAGGAGGAGGAGGAGGAGGAGGAGGAGGAGGAGGAGGAGGAGGAGGAGAGAGGAGGAGGGGGAGGAGGGGGAGGAGGAGCAGGAGGAGGAGGAGGAGGAGGAGCCGCATCGCGTGCAAAGGGGCTCGTGGAGAGCGAGGGGGAGCCACTCCCAGAACCTCCTCTGGGGCCTCGAGGCGAATCCAGCCGTGGCGAGGACGGAAGGGCAGCGGTAGGTCGGGCGTGTCTCCCTACAGGGGGATTTCGGGCGAAGAATTAAAAATAGTCCCCATGTAATTGCTTTACTACTTTTAAATTTTCCTCCTGTAGAAAGACAGACCCGATTTGAGACTAGCGGTACGTATCGGTACGGCCGGACCCAGGTCAAAAGAAAATCCCTCGAGAACATGAGACCTTCTGCCGGCCAGGCCAAAGAACGTTCGAGGGTGCCCTCCTCTCCCAGGGTGCGCGAGCACATCCGACCAAAACAAGTAACTGTGGGGCACCCTCCCCGAACCGACCTCGATCTCATGCCGCGGTCCGACCGTAGCGGTGCGTATGAGTACCTCTAAGTCGGGCCTGTCCTTTTATACAAGGGGATTTTGAACGAAAAGTTAAAAGTACTCACGAAATACCCCAAAATGGCAAAGATAAAAAACAAAAAAAAAATGCTCCAAAAATCGTCGCCTGGCTACTTGTTGACTACTGTTGAAGATTCCCCCCTGTGGAGGGACAGGCCCGACGCAAGCCCAGGGGAGCCGCGGCGCGCGCCGGGCGCGGCCGAGGGCCCGCACCGGGGCGAGGGGGGAATCGGCGCAGGGGCTCGAGCAGCGGGGCGTTCGCTCTCTCGGGGCTTCTCGGTGCCTCCCGGGGCGCCAGGACCGTAGCGGCACGTACAGGTACAGTCGGGGCGTTGCCCTAAGGAACCCCAAATAAGGAACGAGGCCCCCTTTTTCCATAAGTTCACCTTCGATTTCGTGTCGGAAACCTAAGGAGAGCCTGAGGCAAGCTGCGAAACACTTAAGGAACGCGGAGCCCCTCCCCAACGAAAAGGGTTCCTTTTTCAGGGCCCCGACTGTACCCGCGGGACGGAAGGGGGGGAGGGAGGAGGGAGGGGAAAAAGGAGGAGGCGCGGGGCGCCGTCTCTTCAAAACGAGGGCCCAACACCACAGGATGGTTGGGAAAAAGTACCCCCCCAAAAAAGATACCCCAAAATGGTTAACAAAATATTTATCTGTTTCATAATAACAAACAAAAAACAAACAAAAAACAAACAAAACAAACCAAAAAAAAAAAAAAAAAAAAGTTACCATACTATTGTTCACTATGTCTGGATGTTCCCCCTGTAGAGGGACAGGCCCGACTTGGCCCTGGTCCTCGCGCTGCGCCGCGGCCTCCTCGGCCCCGCGCCGCGCCTCCTCGGCGGCGCGGGCGCGCTCCTCGGCCGCCCGCAGCTTGGAGCTCTGGATGTCCTCGGTGTCCTCTCGAGGCGGAGGCGGACTGGGCATGTTCTCTCAGGGTGGAGGGCGGCTCAGGGAGGAAATCCGTATGGGCTCCTGCGCCTCGAAAACCAATCCGTCTTGGGATTCACCTTTTGCAGACTCGAGCCTCGAGAGTCCATCGAAACGGCACTTCAGATTTCACCCCTTGCCCTCCACCCCAAGAAAATGCCCGGGCAGAGCGAGAGGACAGACACACCCAGACCTGCTCGCGTCGTGAGAGAAAAAAACACGACGGGGAGTTTTTGGCCGTGTTCGTCCGTTCTTGCAGGCTCTCTCGCCTCGGGACGCTCTCCAGCAGCTGCGCCTCTTCTGGAGCGTTCCGGGAGTGCCCGGATCGTGCGGGAAGGCCGCCGGAGGCTTGGGACATGGCCCGGAAACCAAAGATTCTCGAGTCGTGAAGGAACACACGACGGGAAGTTTGTGGCCGTTTTCGGCCTCTGGAAGCCCTCCCCGTGGCCTGGGGCTCGGGACCGTCAAAAAACGACTCGGGATGAGAAACTGGTCCCTGGGAATGGGTCGAGACCTCTGGGGGTCGACATTATAAAAAAAAATCGCAACGTCGGGAGGCACGACGAGGACACGCAAAGATCGTGCTACCGTGAGGAACGCTGCAGAGGGAACGGAGGCATGTTTTTGGCCACAGTGAGCCCTGGCCACGACGAGTCTATGACCTGGGCCAGAGGAGCGGCCCGAAAATCCGCCGACCCCAGAGGCGTGTGAGGTTCAACTGTCCTCCTGTGCACGGCCTCCCCAACGACCGTCTTTCATTCATCCGTATTCTCACTCGACAAGTCCAAGCCTGGATCCGACCCTGCCCGACATCAGGTGTCACGTCATCCCCGCCCCGCGAGAGCTCTGTTCTTAGGGCGCCCCAACCGACAACTTCCACCCCGAAAACGCCCCGCCGCCCGCCCCCCGCCGTCGACCTGGTCCACCATCCCCACCTCACGAGTGCTGTGCGCGGAAGGCCCCCCCAGCCGATAACTTCCGAGCCGAAGGCGCCCCGCCGCCAACCCGCCGCCGTCGACCTGGTCCACCAGCCCCGCCCGTCGAGAGCTCTGTTGCTAGGGCTCCCCGCCCGACAATTTCTCGCCCGTCAGCGCCCCGCCGCCCACCCCTCGCCGTCGACCCACGCCACCATCTCCACCCCACGAGGCGCTCTGCTCTTCGGGCCCCCACACCGACAACTTCCTGCCCGAACCCGCCCCGCCGCCCATCCCCCGCCGTCGACCTGGTCCACCATCCCCACCCCATGAGGGCCCCGTCCTTAGGGGCCGCTCATTCGACTATCTGTTGCCCGACAACGCCCTGCCGCCCACCCCGCGCCGTCGACCTGGCACGCGATCCCAGTCCTGCAGAAAGCCTGCAATCTGACCCGCCGACCACCCCAGATCTTTTTCTGGGGTCGGCGGCAGAGGCGGCAGCCTTTAGAGCAGAGCCACTCCAGAGCCCAAAGTGGTCCCCTGAGGCGGAGGCTGGACGAGGACATTACGAAGGAGAATGCCCTGAGACCTGGACGTTGCAATTGTGTTCGCGCCAGGCACGGGGCCAAGTAGGTGGCGACATCCGAACTCTAGCCGCGCCGCCAATTGAGCTGCCTGAATCGTTGGTCGGCGAGCGTAGGGTTCGGACTCCGCCGCCGATCAAGACATCTAGAGGCCTCTATTCGAGATACAGGCACGACGTCGGAGGTCCTGGCTCCCTCAGACCGAAGGCGCTGCATTCTTGTTCGCGCTGGGCGTTGTCGCCTGGCTTCGGGCCCCAGAACCAGCACAGATGGATCTGGCTCGAGACCTGTAGCAGCAGCATGTAGCAGAAAGCTGGGGTCCAGGGCTCTGGTCGCGGTTTTTCGCGATGTTGCGCTTGTTCACAGCGTCGGATCTCGGAATGTACCCTGACCCCCTCGCATTGTGAAAACACACGACGGGCGGCTGCTTGTTATTTTCGGCCTCGGGGGGCCCTCGCCGGGCCCTGGGGCCATCCAAAAGTGCCTCGGGACGAAGAGCCCGTGGATCCTGGGCCATGGGTCGAGACCTCTGGGGGTCCACGCTGCAGTTCTTCAGATAAAGTACAACCGGAAACAACGTCGGCTGTCGGGGAAGTCGGGAGTCTCTGAGAGCCAGACGACGATCGGACCCAGACCCCCGACGTCGCGATTTTGTTCGCAACGTCGACCCCCAGAAATAAGGACCCCTTCCCAGGGGACCGGCTTTTCGTCCTGAGTCGTTTTTTGACGCTCCCGAGGCCCAGGAAGGGCCCCCGGAGGCCGAAAATTGTGAAAAACCTCCCGTCGTGATTTTTTTCACAGCGCGAGGAGGTCTGGGGATGAGGATGCCCAGCTCTCCGGCGATCTCACACGATCCATCCCGGCAGCGTCCCTCGGTGTCGAGAGGCGCCTCTTATAGGGCCTGTGGCCGGGTCCCGGGGCCCGGGGCCCTCAGAACATCGGCCGGGAACGACGTGCACGGGCCCCGGAAGAGGGGGGGCGATCGGGCCCTCCTCGTGGCGCCGCGGAGCGCGAGAGCATCACACCAGCAGATTCGCACGGGCGTCTCCTGTGCGCTGCGTGGGCACGCGCACCGCTCCCGATGTCTGGTTGTGGCGGCGCTGACACTCATTTGTCAATCATCGATTGGGTGTGCGGAGGACGAGGAGGAGGGAGAGGGGGTCACCGGTAACCGCTGCAGTGGCCACGCCACTTGCCCCCTCCCCTTTCCCAGGTGGCCCCCGGTGTAGCGGGAATGGAGTTGGTGGCCTCTCTTCCTTGCGCTGGCTACGGGAGCGCTGATAGCGTCAGGGCCCGCGGTCTCCCGCGGGACGAGCAAGGATGCCACGCACGTGCAGCAGGCGCCTGTTTCGACGGCGACGATAGGGGCGAATAGCCCAGGGGCGGGCATTGCACGCATTGGCCCGGGAGCCTCTTCGAAGACACAGATCGTCGGCGCACCTGAATACATGTATTGCTCTCCCCTGGGCTACTCGCCCCTATCGTCGCCTCTGACTGTTTGTTGGCCTCTTCCCCCTCCCCCTCTCCGGACAGGGGTGGCCTCCGCGTAAGAACTGCGCGCCGCGCGGCGCGAGGCGGGCGGGGGCGCATGTGGGTGACGCGCTCCGCGCTCGCAAGGGAGGGAGGACCCTGACCTTCCCACGAGGGCTACAAAATACAGCCGAACATACGATCAAGAAAAGTATAATATAGCTTAAGAAACCTGGCCCAGCTTTCCGGAAGTCTCGTAAGACGAACCTGGGCCAGGTGTTCGTGCTAACGCTGGAGGGGCGAACGCGCTCCAGAAACTGGGCCAACTCTCGCACAAGCTGGCTGGAAAACGCGGGCCCAGCTTTCCCGGAGGGGGTCTCTGAATCAGACGCTCGACCGTAGCACCAAGACCTTGGCGTCTCCATTCCTGCCGAGGCTGTATGAGCAGTCCAGACGGGCATGAAGTACAGGTCTGGGAGGGCTGCTTTTGCTAGCACTCCTGAAGGGTCATGGGGGAACAGGAGGTCAGCCGCGGAGAAGGCGGGCGTCTCTGAGAGCCCAGGCAGGGCCCCCGGAGGCCGAAAATTGAAAAACCTCCCGCCGTGATTTGTTGTTCACAACGCGAGGAGGCCTGGGGATGAGGATAATTACCCAGATCTCCGGCGACATCACACGGCCCATCCTGGCGGTGCCCCTCGGTCTCGAGAGGCGCCTCTGATAGGGCCTGTTTCTAGCACTCCTGGAAGGTCACTATAGGGGCACGGGAGGTCCGCCGCGGAGCAGGCGGGCGTCTGGGAGAGCCGGCGGGCACCCCCGGAGAGGCTGCCGAGCGGGCGCCGCGGCGGCCGCTCCCGAGCGCCCTGGGACGCCCCCGGAGACCCTGCGGGTCGCTCCGACGCTGCACAGCACCCAGGCCTCCTCGCGCATTGTGAAAAAATAATTTTATAAAAAAGACAAAAAAAAAAAAAAAAAAAAAAAAAAAAAAAAAAAAAAAAAAAAAAAAAAAAAAAAAAAAAAAAAAACACGACGGAAGGCTTTTCATCATTTTCGGCCTCCGGGGGCCCTTCCCGGGCCAAAGCACGACGCAGGACGGCAAACCGGCCCCGGGGAAGGGGTCCAGACCTCTGGGGGTCGACGTTGTGAAAAAAGCACGGCGTCGGGGGTCTGGGCACGTCGCCGCCCGTGGCGGATCACGACCGGGGCCAAGATCGCGCAGGCCTCTGGGGGCCCACGATCTACAGTCAGATCGGGCAGGTCCCCCCTGCGGGCGGATTTGGGGCGAAGAATCAAGAATACTCCAAGAACATGCTCAAAATTAGTTTTAACAAAAAAAATCTAGAAACATCGTCCCAAAACTATGTTTGGACTGCCTTTGAACCTTCCTCCTGTAGAGGGACATGCCCGACTTAGATCTCCAGAGACATGGCGTCGGGGGCCTGGGTGCGCCCTCCCGGCCTGGCCTGGCCAGGGCGGCGCACGCACCCTGAGCTCCAGAGCTGCGGGCAAAGCTCCAGCATTGCGAAAAATCACGGCGCGTGACTCTGATGTTAAGTCGGGCCTGTCCCCCTACAGGGGGATTTTCGACGAAAAATGAAAAATACTCAAAACATACTCCAAAATGGTTTAAAAAAATTCAAAAAATAGTCCCCAGACTATTTTTGACTATTTTTTAATATTCCTCCTGTAGAGGGACGGGCCAGACTTAACTCTGATGCTGATTTGTGACGCCTCCCACGCCATTTTGGCCGCGCTGAGCTCCGTCGCGCTCTTCGCCTGGCGCTGCTCGCCTCTCTGCTCTCCCCCCTGCTATAGCTGGTGGCACAGCCTGCCCCTGCTTGCACGGCGCTCGACCCGCTTCGCGCACCCGCACACCAAAAGAAGAATCACGACCTTAGCCCTGTACCCCCGCTGAACTGCTGCCCTCTCGGGCCGGATCGGTCTGCGAGGGCCCAGGGCCCGCAAAAAGTTGCAGCATCGCGAAAAGAATCGCGACGGCAGCCCTGGACCCCGGCTTCCTGCTGCACTCTCGAGCCGCATCGGTCTGCGAGGGAGGGGGGAAGCGCCCGGCGTGAGAAGGCTGCACCGCCAGGGTTTCGGGGCAGAGCGCTCCGGTCCTCCTCCTCCTCCTCCTCCTCCTCCTCCTCCTCCTCCTCCTCCTCCTCCTCCTCCTCCTCCTCCTCTCCTCCTCGCTCCTCCTCCTCCTCCTCGTCCTCTTCCTCCTCCTCCTCCTCCTCCTCCTCCTCCTCCTCCTCCTCCTCCTCCTCAAGGGCAGAGCGCTCTGCAACGCTCTGCGAGCATCCTGGCACGCCGCCAGGCCCAGACCCCCGACGCCCGTGACTGTTTCGCAGCGTCGGCCCCCAGCGCGGGCAGTACTTATACCTAGCCCCCCGCAGATGCGGATAAGAGAGAGGGGTGCCCATCCCCAGTGTCCATCCCCAGTGCCCATCCCCAGTGTCCATCTCCAGTGTCCATCCCCAGTGTCCATCCCCAGTGTCCATCCCCAGTGCCCATGCCCAGTGTCCATCCCCAGTGCTCATCCCCAGTGTCCATCCCCAGTGTCCATCCCCAGTGCCCATCCCGGAGGCGAACCCTCCAGAATTGCCAACGCACGCCCGGGGACGAAATAATCCCGTTTGGGCACCCCTCTCTCTGATCTACATCAAGTGCGTCTTGGACTTTCTTGGAAGGGGCGCCGCAAGGCCGAGGCGCACTGGATATGGATAAAAATCTAGCCTCTGGGGGGATATATATAGACACTGCCCGCACCCAGAGGTCTGGACCCCTTCCCCGGGACCCGTGTTCCGTCCTGAGTCGTTTTCCGACGGTCCCGAGGCCCGGTGAGGGCCCCAGGGGGCCGAAGATAGCGAACAACCCTCCCGTTGTGACTTTTTCCTAGCGCGAGGGGTTCTGGGGAGCGCCTCCAGTGACCTTCCAGAGTGCCAAAAAATAGCTCTCCAGTCCTATGTACCTATCTGGACTGCTTCAAACCTCGACAGGAATGGAGACGCCAAGGTCCTGGTGCTATTTTTCAGCCCTCGCGGAAGGTCAGGGTCCTCCTCCCCCTGGAGGACTGACTGCCCACGGGTCCATGCCTATCCCCCCCCATCGTTGCCCCTGACATAGGTCCTGCTTCAGCTCCCGGTTCTGCTCCACCCGCGCGTGCACGTCCCGCTCCAGGGTGCGGTACCTCTGGCCGGGTGCCCAGGCCGAGCCGAGGCGCGGCGCCGGAGGGGCGTTTTTGGCGAGTCCTGGCGGCGCGCACACAGAACCCTGGGGCGCTCAACAATGATCATGCTGTCTACGTGGTGGCCATGGCAGCGGCTGACACAACTGACGTGTGTTTGTTCGGTGATCGTAGTGGCACTCTCGCTCCGCTGCAATGCCCGCCGTTTGCGACGTGCTCTGGCTGCAGCAGGTGCCAGCACTGGTCCAGAATTTGCCACGTCTCTGACAGGGTCCCGCCGTCGGTCACAAAGGTAAGATCTCATGCGTCCTTGGCCGATGTTAAGTCTGGACAGGCCTCCACGTTTGCACTGGGACCTTGGCGTCTGAGTTCCTGGCGAGGTTTTATAAAAGAAGAGAAGACGGCATAAGCATAAACTCTTGGCGCTCTGCGCGGATTTCTTGGATCCGCGCCAGGGGCGGTGCCAGAGGAGCCGCCGGGGGAGCCCAGCGCGGATCCAAGAAATCTGCGCGGAGCGCCAAAGGTTTATGTTTATGCAGTTGTTTCTTCTTCGATCTTGGGCAGTCCAGATAGGTCCAAGTTCTGGAATCCTATCCTTTAGCACGATCTGGAAAGTCAGGGGAAAGGGGAGGCGTGAGAATGGGATGGCCTTCCAAGAAGGCGGGGAGCTTCTCAAAGCCAGGGGCCTTCTAGCGCCTGGAGGTTTCTAAGAACGCTTCTTCAAAGCCTCCAGGGCTTCCTAAGAAGGCCCCTTCTAAGAAGCCCCCTCTGCCGTCTTGGAAGGACGCCCCCCTCGCTCCACCCCCTTGTGCGCGCCGTCAAAATTCTCAGCCCCCACAGGCCCTTGCCAGGCCTCGGGGTCGTCAGAAAACGGTTTCCGATGACGAGGCGGGCCTTGGGAGAGAATTTCAGACCTCTGGGGCGCCACGGTGCCAAGAAAACACTGCGCCGCGTGTCTGGTGGAGGGTGGGGTGAGCGAATCCGCTCAAGTAGGCAGTTTTCCCAACGCCCCCTGGCGCCGGAGGCGCCAGTATCGACCACACGCAAGAGCGCCCCTGGGCAAGAGTGACAACTGGTGCGCGGCTTTTCGGGGCCACGGGGGGACCAAACAGGAGCGTGCAAGACGCGACTGCCGCATCGCACTCGGCGGCTGGTGGGCACCATTTGGGCCCGCACCAAAGGTCACTCTGGCAAAAGGTCACTCTCACGTCTGGTCGACAGCGCATCGACGAAAGCGCCCAACGCATACAGTCATCGGCCTGACGTCAGGAACGAGAAATCAGGAACGAAACCTCATTTTTCCAAGGAGTGACGCAGAAGGAGCGATATGTAAGACATGACGTATAAGGAACGATAAATAACGCATGCAAGCCGCAGGAACGACCGAGCCCCTTTTGAAAAGCAAGTGTTCCTTATTCAAGCAGCTTGCTGCACAGCAGAATCCGAAAATACCTCGTGCCACTGGCCGTGCAGAGCACTGCAGGCAGGAGCGACGGGCATCTCTCCGGGCCACCCCAGAGAGATCGGCCACGAAAAGGTTCCCCGATCTGGGTTCAGGTCGGGCGTGTCCCCATGCGGGCGGATTCTGGAAGGAAAAGTCACACATAATCAAAACACACACATGTTTTCCAATATAGAAACAAGAAGTCGTCCCCTGACTATGCCCCTCCCGATTCGCAGAGCCATCCTCCCTGCACACGTCGCCCTCCCGCCCAGCTGTGGCGGCGCGCACCAAGGAGGTGGAGGGAGGGGGAGGGCTTCTTAGAGGGAGGCTGCTGCTTTCGAGGCCTCCCAAATGGGGTCCGAATAAACGGGGTCGGTGGATCTCACCGCATCGCCGATGCATCGGCGATGCATCGGCCATGCACTGGCGACGTCAAGGATGCATCGGCGACGTCGGCGTGAAGGAAATCGGGCTCCACATCGAGCCGCATCGCCGATGCATCGGCGATGCGGCGCGATCCTCCGACCCCGTCTACTCCGACCCCATCTGGGAATCCTAAATTCTTAGAAGGCGCCGGCCTTACATCTATAGATCAGGCCCGCGCCTGGCAAGCAGCAGGGGCGCTTCGGAGCAGCCCTCCCCCTTCCCCCCACCCCCAGTGCGCCCTGGGCACGGCCGCCGTGCGCATCGGGATCCGCATAGGCGTCCGCATAAGAATCCGCAGAAGGGTCTGGTCAGGCAGTCGTCGTCGTCGTCGTCGTCGTCGTCGTCGTCGTCGTCGCCGTCGTCGTCGTCGTCGTCGTCGTCGTCGTCGTCGTCGCCGCCGTCGTCGACCGTCGTCGTCGTCGTCGTCGCCGTCGTCGTCGTCGCCGTCGTCGTCCCCGACGCGCGTGGTATCGCAGGCTTCCGCCGGCGGGCCCCCCGCGCCGCTCGCCTTCCACGGGCGGCCGCCCGCCGAGGGCCACGGGAGACCGCGCGCGCCGAGGGCGAGGCGCGCCCTCGGACGGCGCGCCTCGCCCTCGGCGGGGGCCGACGGAGGGGGCCGGCGGCAGGAAGGCGCGGGCGCCTCAGGAGGCAACTACTGGGAGGTTCTCGTCGGAAAGAGTCAGGAGGATGAAAGGCCCATGTTGGGAGCTGTTACGCCGGAAAGGGCCTCGGACTAAGCAGGATTGAAGCCGGATGAAGCGGGATTGAGCCGGATTGTGCGGGATGAAGCTGGACTAACCCGGACTTCGGACCAGGGCAGAACCAGAATTTGACCTCCCAGGAGTTGCATCCGAAGGCGCCTCCGCCAGCGGAATCGGGGGGAACGACAGGGGGGGGACAGCAAAGGGCAGGGTATTGGAGGCCTGGAAGTGGGCACCAACACCAACACAGGGGGTTGCCTCCACAGGGGGAAGACGATCCAAGATTTCGGTATCGGTGGTAATGTTTCGGTCGCCTTGGAAGCCAGAATATTACCACCATCAGCGAGATCGGGAATCTTCTTTCCTCGGCTGAGGCACACCGCCGATATTGGTGTTGGTGTCAACCTCTGGGCCTCTGAGGGTAGAGAATCAGCTCACGTAGCTCATTTTCCCAGCGCCTCCCGGCGCTGGGAGGCGCCGACGTATCGAGGAACGGGCCGGGCGGCGGGGCCGAAACCAGCTGCATGCAGCAGATTTCGTACCCCCCCCTTTCCTTATCCCTCCCGTTCGTTCGGCCGGACGGTAGCTCGCCGGAAGGCCGGCGGAAGGATGGCGGAAGCAAAGGAGAGACACTGACATTCTTCATTCATGCGACGTCGTGATCTTCCCTGACCTGGCAGAGTGCTAGAAGATAGCCCTCCAGACCTATACACGCCTATCTGGACTGCTTCAAGCCTCGGCAGGAATTGAGACGCCCAGGTCCTGGTGCTATCTTTAGCCCTCGTGGAAGCTCAGGGTTCTCACAGCGTGGCACCCCAGAGGCCTGGACCCCTCCTGGGAACCGGCCCTGCGCCCCGAGTCGAGCCTTGGCGGCCCGAGGGCCGCACACAAGAGCCCGCGGAGGCCAGGGATTGCCAACAGGACGTCGTGCGTTGGTTCGCGACGCGAGGAAGGTCTGGCCTTCGGGAGGTGCGGTCGGACCAGGGACAGAAGAACATCCTCCAAGAGCAGGAGACGCCCTGCCGGCCAAACTGAAAAACATTCGAGGGCACTCCCCCGCCCCCAGGATGCACAAGTACATCCAACGAGCACGACGAACATGAGGGTACCCTCCCCGAACCGATCTCGATCTTATACCTCGGTGCGACCGTATCCCAAGCCTCCGGTAGCCGTTTCAGACAACCCAGGGCTCCCCCGGAAGCTCTCGACGAGATGGAGCCGAGGGAGACCGCCCCAGGGCCTGAAAAAACCTCCAAAGAAGCCTTCGAGGGCCTCCCGCCTCGATCTCTTCCGCGAGGGCTGTCGGGGGGGCCTCCCCTGATCTTCCGCAAGGGTAGTTAAAAAAAAGCCCTTCAGACCCACAGACCTATCTGGACTTTCTAAAACCTCGACACGAGTTCAGACGTCGAGGTCCTGGTGCTATTTTGTTAGCCCTCCTGGGAGGTCCGGGCCCCAGACCCTCGACGTCATGATCTTGTCGTGATGCGGGCCCCTGGAGGTCTGGACCCCTTCCCAGGGACCGGCTGTTCATCCTCAACCGTCCCTTGACGGTCCCGAGGCCCGGCAAGGGCCCTCAGAGGCCAGACACAGCGAAAAGCCATCCGTCTTGTGTTTTTCATGACTAGAGGGGGGGCCAATGTCGGCTCGGACGAAGGGGAGGGGGGAGCAAAGGGAGGGTTAGCGAATCAGCTCACGCCGCTGAGGAAGCCGCCTGGAGGCATAGCCGAAACCACTTTCATGCAGCAGATTTCGTCAACCCCATCCCCCGCTTTCCCTATCCCCTACTTTCGCCCGACCCGATTCTGGAGCTGGGCGCGCCTGGTGCGGACGCACAAGGAGGTCTGGACCCCTTCCCAGGGATCGGACTTTCATCCTGAGCCGTTGTTTGTCGGTCCAGAGGCGCGCTAAAGGGCCCCGGGAGGCCGAAAACTATGATCATTGAAGAATGAAAAAACGACCTACCCGGGGTTACAAGTGCGTGGTCTGTAAACCTCCTGCGAGCTCCGAAGGCCAGAGAGCCGCCAGCAAGCCGCGCGACACGCGCGATACGCAGGGCCTATCCTGTCAGCCCACAGGAGGTTCAGCGCACAGCGCCTCGTAAACCAGGGTAGGGGCGTTGTTTTGAGCCCTTGAGATCAAACACTTCATCTTAATTCTGTTCAATGCGATGAAGGTCTGGAGGGGACTTTCTCAGAAGCCTCCCACGTGGGGTTCGAGTAGATGGGGTCGGAGGATCGATCGCGCCGCATCGCCGAGGCATCGCAGTGGCACCGCTGATGCGTCGGCGATACATCGGCGATGTTCCAGCGACGGCGGCGATTCGTCGGCTCCGTCGGCGTGAAAAAAAACGGGCTCTACATCGAGCCTCATCGCCGATGCATCGGCGATACGGCGCGATCCTCCGACACCACCGACCCCGATCCCGTATGGGAGGCCTCACGCAATCACTCAGACGTCCATGCCCCGTGTGTGTTTCGGTGTCGCGCGCTTTTATTCCGCAAGATGATCCAAGATTCCTCGATGGTCCTCGCCGAGAAAAAACTGCGCACGCCCGAGCGATGCACAGCCGAAAATATGATCAAGAAAACTATCGTTGAAGAAGTCTGGGCCAGCTTCACGGAGCCAACTTCAAGCAAACCTGAGCAATGTTTCGTGTTAAGGCTGGAGGGACGAACGTGCGTACGAAACCGAGCCAGCTTTCAAGCAAGTTCCCCACCCGACAGGTTGGGGTCGTTAGATTTTGAGACAAGACCTCGCGGCCCGCCCGCCCTGCATACCGCGGCCGCCAGATCCCCAGGCTTCCGATAATCCCTGGTCCCGCCCCCCCGCGCCGGCTCGCCCACTCTGCATACTGCGGCCGCCAGATCCCCAGGTCACCCGATAATCCCTGAGGGTACCGCCCCCCGCGCCGACTCGCCCACTCTGCATACCGCGGCCGCCAAATCCCCAGGTCCCCCACAGAACAAAGCATAACACCACACCACCAAACAGAACATACCCAAGCATAACATACCATATCATGGCATGCCATATCATAACATAACATACCATGACCGAGCAGCGCATACCATAGCACAGCATGACCGCAAAGTTCATTCCATAACCCGAAAATTCAAGCATACCATAGTAAATCAGCGCATAACTGAACATACCACAACATAACATCTCACATCATCACATTACATGGCATAGCACATCAAAGACAACACAGCATGCCAACGCATGCTATTACAGATCGGATCACACATGCCATAATTCAAGAGAGCACAGCATAGCATGGCATAACAGTGCATCACATAGTACACCATGGCAGAACAAAGTACAACATAAGACAGCATCACAGCACATACCACTCCATGTCATGGCAAAGCAGAACATGACAGAGCGCGGCATACGCTGCTATGGCAGAGCAAAACAAAGCATTGCATGACACCATAAACTATGACAGAAATGGTCACACATAACATAACATAAAACACCACACCTCACAACACAACACAACATAACAGAGCATAAGATGACACACCATGACAGAACATGGCCCGACCGCCGCACTGACCGAAACCGCCGCGCCCCGCGCACATCGTTCCACTGAGCGCGCGCACCTGCGGGCCCAAACGCCGCAGGTGTTTCGGTGGGGACCGCCCGAAGCAGAAACATATGTGTGAACGAGCGTCGGCCCAGCTGTTCGAGAGGAGGCTTGCTGATCAGATGCTCGACCGTCGATCTAAAACAGGGCTAGGATCGGGATAAATCGCTCCAGAGCGTTCCAGAGCGCTCTCAGAGCGTTCCAGAACGCTCGGGAGCGGCCGCGGCGCCCAATACATCCTCCAAACCCGCCGATTCTCAGAGAGTTCGAGTTATCCCGATCCGATTCTGTCCCGATCTTCGCGTCGTTTTACGATCCCTGGGGGGCTGGAGGCGCCTGTCTTTCAGCTCCTGGTGCTGCTGCCTCAGCCGCTCCGCCCGCTGCGCCGGCGCCTCCGCCGCGGGCCCGGCCGGCGCGCCCTCGACGCCCGCGCGCTCGCAGGCGCTCCCCATGGTGGCGGCGCCCCGGCGGCCGCGCCGGAGCGGCGCTCTGCGCCGGAGCGGGCTGCGGCCAGGGGCGGCGATCTATGAAGGGGCCCTGAGGCACACAAACAAATACACACAAAAATGTCAGGATTTCCCATATCTCCCCATATTCTCTGGGTTTTTGTCTTCCCCCCCACTCCCCATAGTTTCCCACATTTTCCTGGAAATCGACGATGAATTTTGTCTGTGTGTTTTTTCCCTCCTCCTGAATTTAGCCGAGGACGAAGGCCCTGAACCCAAAAGGCGCTGTCATCTCTTGGGGGCGCAGCTTTTGCTTCCGCCGGCCTGCGCCAGCGCAGGCGGCCTCGTTCTGCCTCCGTGGGCCTCCGCCGCCCTTCCGCCGCCGTCCGCCGAGGAAGAGATGGCAACGCCTTCGGTCCTCGAGGGCGAGGCCCTTCGGGAGAGAGGCCGGCCCCAGGGAGCGGGCCGAGGCGGCCGAGGCCTCTGGGGGGTCGACGTCACGAAGACATCATGACGTTGACCCGGGGCCTGGGGGCTCAAGGCTGAGGGGCAACAGTGGGGGGACACTGGCAGGGGGGGGAACATGGATTTGCAATCGGCAGCACATCGCCGACAGATCGGCGATAGGCCCCCGATAATGCATCCGCACGTTCCTGGGCAGATTGGGGCTGTCGAGCGGCGATCAATAGGCGATTGGAAATCGATACATCCCCCCCTATACCTATATCCTCCAAACGACGGGTCTAATTATGGGGAACGGGCTCTCCCAAGACAGTTCCACTGGCTGGTTTTCCCTGATTTCGGCCCGTGGGGGGGGGGGCCTTTTCCAGGGCGCAGAACTGACCCGGGGGAAGCGGTCGGGACCTACGGGGCCGCGGATCTACAGAATCACGTCGGCGGGTGACAGGGGGGCGGCCATGGAGCCGCCAGGAGCCGCCCCTGACATCCCCGCGTCACGAGGTTCCCCGAGGCGTTTGGAGGGCTTCCTGGGAGTTCTCGGGCCCTGCGGGGGTGTGCACGGTTTCCCCCAGGACCGTAGGCGACCCGAGGACGAGGAGAAGGAGGAGGAGGAGGAGGAGGAGGAGGAGGAAATGGAGGAGGGGGAGGAGGAGACGGAGGAGGAGGAGGAGGAAGAGGAGGAGGAGGAGGAGGAGGAGGAGGAGGGAGGAGGAGGGAGGAGGGAGGAGGGAGGAGGAGGAGGAAAAGGGCAGAGGAGGAGGAGGAGGAGGAGGAGGAGTAGGACTGGTCGCCTAAGCCCTTCGGAGAAGCCCTCCAGTGGGGTGGTCTCCATCGGCCCCGCCTCGTCGAGGGAGCTTTCTGCGGAGCCCGGGAGGCCCCCGAGAGGCCGCCAGAGGCCAGGGCCTGTGGCCCAGAAGCGTGCGTGCGTGTTGACCAAGTGGCTCGTCACCCTTGGGGAGCATCGCCAGCAAGGAGCGGTTGAGGTCGTGCGGGATGGTGCCCCCGTGCGCAATGTGCAGCACGAGGGAGGCCAATGAGGAGAAGGAGGAGGAGGAGGAGGAGGAGGAGGAGGAGGAAGAGGGAGGACGAGAGGGAGGGCGCTAGAGAGGAGGATGCGAGGAGGAGGAGGAGAAGGAGGCAGGAGAGTGGAGGGAGGATGAAGGAGGAAGGAGGCATGAGGGAAGAGGGAGAAGAGAGGTGGAAGCAGGAGGGAGGCGGGAGGAGGAAGGACGAGAGAAAAGGGACGATGAAGCAGGGAGGAGGGAGGAGGGAGGAGGGAGGAGAAGGGAGGAGCGACGATGGAGGAGGCAGGAGGGAAGAGGCAGGAGAAAAGGGGGAGGAGGGAGGACGGAAGATGAGGTATGAGGAAAAAGGGAACGATGGAGGAGGGACGATGAAGGAGGGAGGAGGGAGGAGGCAGGAGGGAGGAGGGAGGACGAGGTTGATAAAAAGAAGAAGAAGAAGAAGAAGAAGAAGAAGACGGAGGAGGAGGAGGAGGAGGAGGAAGAGGAGGAGGAGGGGGGATGAGGAGGGAGCAGGAGGGGGGCCATGGACCCCATGCCCACGGGGCGCCTGAAGCAGCTCCAGCCAGCAGGCGTCCGGCAGGCGGACCTTGCCAGAGAGGGGGGGCTAGCCCGAGGTGTGCGTCCCCTCCCCTCTTTCCTCCTCCCTCCTGCCCCATTCCTTTTCCTTATACATAGCTTCTCCCTGTCGCACCCCGAGGCCAGTTTTTAGGGCGGGCCGGGCGTTTCTCTTGAGACTCCCTCTTGAGACTCCCTCACCAGCTATGGCCCTGAAGCTTCGAAAATGGCAACAGCTTCACAGATGGGAGGCCGGTGGTTGTCAGAATGTGGCTCTCGCCTTAGCGCCGCACACATTCGCTTTCAAACATTGCCAGAGCTTCACGGATTGAGGGCGGGTGGTTTTCAACATGTGGCTCTCGCCTTAGCGCCGCACGCATTCGTTGCCTTAGCGCCGCGCACATTCGCTTTTAAAAGATCGGCAGAGCTTCACGGATTTAGGGCGATCCGTTTTCAACATGTGGCTCTCGCCTTAGCGCCGCGCACACTCGCCTTAAAGAATTGCAAGAGCTTCACGGATGGAGGGCGCTCCTTTTCAAAATGTGGCTCTCGCCTTAGCGCCGCGCAGATTCGCTTCACCGATTTGCAAGAGTTTCACGGCTTCCCATGATCAGCATACCAGAAACAGTGTTTGGAATGAGTCAGGCTTATGAGGGTGCAACAGTTACAGTGGTTCGCGGATTTGATGTCCCAGCAATGGCGTTCTGGCACGATTCAGGATCGTCAGGAAGCAACAGTCAAGTTGATCCGTGGCTTTGGAATCCCGAGAACAATGTTTTGGCATGCAACAGGGTCTTCAAACGGTTTTCCAACGAGGCAGTTCCTTTTTGGAAATGAGCCGTTGTAGGGGCCTATGAAGAGTGAGCTTGGAGGGAGGGCTTATTCCAACACCGTTGATGACTCTTGGGTTTACACTGGTCCTCCTCCTCCTCCTCCTCCTCCTCCTCCTCCTCTTCCTCCTGCTCCCTCCCTCCTTCTCCCTGCCGCTCTCCCTCCCTCCTTCCTCATCCATCATCCATACACCCCGGCCCCCTCCCTCCTCCATGGTCCCTCCTTCCTCCCGCCTTCCTCCTTCTCCCTCCTCCCTCCTCCCTCCCTCCCTCCCTCCTTCTCCTTCTCCTCCTCCTCCTTCTCCTGCTCCTCCTCCTCGTCCTCCTCATCCTCCTCCTACTCCTTCTCCTCTTCCTCCTCCTCCTCCACTCCTCCCTGTCGTACCACCAAACGTGTCGGAAGGGCGGGCTGGGAGTTTCGCCTGAGACTTCACCACATATATCCTGAAGCTTGAAATTCGCAGCTTCAATGATGGAGTGGGTCGCTGTTTGTTTGTATGTGGTTCTCGCTTCAGCGCCGCACGCACTCGTCTAAAACGCAAACAGGGGAGTCGCTGGCAAAATTCGACTCTCGCCTTTGCGGCACGCCCATTCGTGGAGGGAGGTTGCTTTTAATACGTGGACCTCGCCTTCGCGCCGCGAGCACTCGTCGTAAAAGGCTGCAACACCTGGAAGGACGAAGGGGAGTCGTTGTCAAATGTGGCTCTTGCTCTCGCGCCGCGCACAGTCGTCTTCACATCCTACACCGCCTTTAGGATGGAGGGCGGCTTACTTTCAAAATGTTGCGATCGCCGCATCGCATTCGCTCCCTCTCCTCCTGCTCCTGCTCCTGCTCTGCTCCTGCTCTGCTCCTGCTCATTCCTCCTCCTCCTCCTCCTCCTCCTCCTCCTCCTCTTCCTCCTCCTCCCCCTCATCCTCTTACTCCTTCACATCCTCCTCCTCTTCCTCCTCCTGGGCTTTCGCCTTAGCACCGCACACATTCATCTCAAAAGTTCGCAACCGCCTCAAGGAGGCCGGGCAGGTCGTTCTCAAAGAGCGCCGCGCACAGTCTTCTTCGAAGCTTGCGACAGCTTCGAGGATGCAGGGCGGCGCCATGTCAAGATGTGGCGGTCGCCCTGGGCGCAACACACATTCATCGCAACATCGTGCAGCAACTTCACGGACAGAGGGCGGTGTGTTCCCCCATGCAGAATTGCTGTGGAAGCTTGCAGCTTGCAAAATCGTGCTCTCGCCTTCGCGCCGCGCACATGCGTTGCAGCAGCTTGCATCAGCTTAGAAAGTGCAGGGCTGCTCCTTTTCCAAAGTGGTGTTCTCGCCTTAGCGCCACGCGAGAATTGAACACACGTCGTTTTCAAACTGGCCCTCTCGCCGTAGCGCCGCGCGCACGCGTTCTGGGGGGCACAGTTAGAAGGATGGAGGACTGATCTTACTCAAACATGGGCGATCGCTGGAGACTTCAATCATCGGGCAGACCAGGAACTGCAACAAAAGTAGCACAGTACAGATGCAAGCAGCTCTTGTTCAAAATGGTTATAACGCTTGAGACTTCCTCGAAGCTCATGACAAAAAGTGCGAAGCTGTGCAACAATTGCAAGGATAAGAGGGCAGTCGTTCTTCGAAAGGGGGACCACGCTGGACTCCTCCTTGAACTCGATGATGCATCTTGGGTTTACTCTGGTCCTCCTCACGCCTCCTCCCTCCTCCCTCCTCCCTCCTCCCCTCCCTCCCCTTCTCCACCTCCCTCCGCCCTCCTCCCTCCCCGTCCTCCTCCCTCCTCCATTCCCCCCTCCTCCCTCCTCCCTCCATCTTGCGGGATGCTGGTGTTCGTCGACTTCCTCTAACTCCTCTGGGACGGGGGCGGGCATCGCAGGCACCCGCGCACGCCACTGCCCGCCCCGCACCCCAAGCTGCCCAAGTTTGACCTCTGGGAGGGGCACGACCGGGCGCATCGATCTTATCGCCGATCGAGGCAGACCGTGCACAGACCTCCGACAATATGTTGTTTCGGGGATGGACAGACCCCCCTTTAGTAAAACGCGGTTTAGTGAAAACGACCTGAGGCCCAAACCTGGCGGGCGCAAGCCTGGAAAATGACGGCCACGGCGCCCTCTCGAGAACCGAAAACGGACAATTCACTAATCGACGTGTCACTGTTGGGGGTTCTGTCCACCCCCGATTGTTACCAGTCCTCGAGCTCTTCCTCCTGTCCGGCCTCCCGGGCCCGGGGCCATCGGAGATGGATCCGGTCAGGGCCGCTGGGGCCGCGGCTGGACAAAAGAACAGATCGGCTGCTGTCGGGGTCTGTGCTGCTGGTTCCCTTAGGGAGGTTCCTGCCCGCGGATCCGCGAGCTGATCCGCGAGGAGCATCCGCGAACACATCCGATCCCGCCCATCTGGATGTTTCGGGGCGAAGCGGCCCGCGAGGGCCCGAGGGTTACATAGGTCGGGCATGTCCCCCTACAGGCGGATGTTGGGCGGAAAAAACGATTCGAGAACATCGAATCCATTCTTATAAATATACATACATACATACATACATACATACATACATACATACATACATACATACATACATACATGCATGCATGCATACATACATACATACACTCATTCATTCATGCATACATACATACGTACGTACGTACCTACCTACCTACATACATACATACAGGCATGCATACGTACATGCATGCATGCATGCATGTATGCATGATTACATACACACACACCTACATACTTACCTACGTACACACATACATACATACATACATACATACATACATACATACATACATTCATACATACATACATGCATGCATGCATGCATGCATGCATGCATGCATACGTACGTACGTACGTACATACATACATACATACATACATACATACATGCCGACATACATACGTACATGCATGCATACGTACATGCATGCATGCATGCATGCGTGAATACATACACACACACAGACATACGTACCTACGTAGACACATACATACATACATGCGTACATACATGCATGCATACAAACATACATACATACATACAAACACACACATACATACATGCATACATGCATACATACATACATACAGACAGACAGACAGACAGACAGACAGACAGACATACAAACATGCATGCATACGTGCATACATGCATACATACATATGTATACCTATATTCATACATACTACACACATACATACATACATACATACATACATACATACATACATACATACATGCATACATACATACTTACATACATACATACATACATACATACATACGTACGTACATATATACATACATGCATGCATGCATACATACATACATGCAGGCATGCAGGCATGCATTCATGCATAGATGCATACATACATACATACATACACACACACATACATACATACATACATACATACATACATACATACATACATACATACATACACACACACATACATACAGACATTACAGACATGCATGCATGCATACATACATACATACATACAGACAGACAGACAGACAGACAGCCAGACATACATATAACTATCAGCAAAACGTCCCCTGACGACTTGTTGACGATAGAGGGACAGGCCCGACTGAACCCGCGAGGGTCCGAGGGCCCGAGGCGGAGCGGAGAGGACCGCCTTGGCACTGCTCACGGCGCCCAGGTTGTCTGGGCCATCCCCGCGCACAGGCAGAAGCCGCTAAAATTAGGTCGGGCGTGTCCCCCCTCAGGGGGATTGTGGACGAAACATAAAAATAGTTTAAACATCTGCAACAACAGTGAAAATACGCAAAAAAAAACGTCATGTTAGAACATTCCTCCTAGATTCCTCCTGTAGAGGGACAGGCCCGACTTAACGCTAAAACCCACAGGCCCCGTCGGGGCACCATCCAGTCTCCGTGCTCTGACCAGCGCGCTCGGCCACGGCGACGCAGAGGAGCCACCGAACAACAAACAAGGGTGCGGAGAGCGAAGGAGGAGAAGGACCACAGCCAGGAAGCTGGAACACGCGCACACACACACACACACACACTTACGCACACACTTCTTGGCGTCGGAGCCCTGCGCGCGGTTCGGCTACACGGCGTAGAAGGTCGAAAAGCAGCAACCGCTCGCGCGGGTCTACGCTCACCCAAGCCTTCAGAGACCACTACGCACACACAGACGCACACACACACACACAAACTCTCACACACACACACACACACACACACTTGTATATCGTCGGCGGCTAGGCAGGGAACGTCTGTGCTGGTGGATGGATCTAGCTAAACGGGGGTGCCATTGAGTGAATACACACACATACACACATATACACACACACACACACTTGCTTGGCGTCGTGGGCAGGCGCGCTGCGGCGCGGCGTAGGCAGTCGAGCGACACAAACACACACGACTGGGTTCACATGTGGAACCCGCGGAGGCCGCGCGGAGAGTGCACACGAGGAAGCTAGGGCGAGCACGGCCACAGAAGTGCAGAGCACTGGAGAGACAGCTGGCCACATGTCTCTCGGGCTCTCGTCCAGACTTGCGAGGCGTGAATTTAACCATATACACCGCCTGGGGACCGACGTCCTGGTGCCCGAACGGGCGGTTGATATGGACATATTCTGGCCCCTGGGGGACTCAATGTATCCATATCCACCGCCTGTGGAGGTCCGCGAAGATCGATCCCCCAGGCTGTGGTCATGGATAAATCCCCGCCTCGGAGAAGGCTGGCCGCATCCGGTGCATCCGGCTTCCTGGAAGGCCTTCGGGCCATCACCGCGGTCTCGGGCGACCGACCACCAACGTCGTCAATGACGGCCGTCGGCGGTCGCACCCGCCGGCGGCGACAGCCGGCGACGCCTGGGGGCGGCGCCTCGCGCGCCTCAGGGGCCCGCAGCTGCGTGAAGCGGCCTTCTGCGGATCGAGCCTCTCGGCCCTCGAACCCGAAGCCCGATCCTGGGCCGATAAACAGCAAAAGCGCCCCGAAGCCTCTGGGATAGGGGGCCTGAGTCGGGAGGGCCAACAAACATTTGGGGATAGAAGCGTCTCCTGCAGACTCATCCGGCCAAGCCGCCCAGATCTATCATCCCTAGCGAGGCCACGTCTTCATCGTGTCATCAGAGTTACTATGGGTTCTTTTGTTCTCGATTTAGGTCGGGCATGTCCCCCCCGACAGGCGGGTTGTGGACGAAATGTAAAAAATACTCCAGGAATATTGAAATGGTCACAACTACTCAGAAGATCGTCCCCCGACTTTTTGTTTGACTATCTTTGAATAAACTCCTCCTGTAGAGGGACATGCCCGACTTGATACCAGGGCTTCTTTTTTTTCCCGATCCTCGGCGCCGGCGGCGTCGTCGCCGCCATCGTCGGCGGCGGCACCGCCTGACTACCTACCAGGCCACCCCAACCAAACCCGAAGACACGAATTTAGCCCGCAATTCGGGTGGGAGGGGGGCACGGGCGTCACGTGTTTCTTCAATGCTCCCCAACCCCGCCACACCGGAAATGGAGGGCCAATCGGGGCCTTCGGGTTGGGTTGGGGTGGTTTGGTGGGCGGTGACCGACGGCGCTCGCTGTCACGGGCTGAAGGGTCAGTGGAAGTGCGTGGGTGGGTGGTCGCCTGCTCCTGCTCGCCTGGCGCCCCCGGCTTCTGTTCCAGCGCCTGCTCTGTCCCCCAGTCGTCGGCGTCGGCGTCGGCGTCGTCGGCGTCGTCGGCGTCGGCGTCGGCGTCGTCGTCGGCGTCGGCGTCGGCGTCGGGCGTCGTCGTCGGCGTCGGCGTCGGCGTCGTCGGCGTCGTCGCCGCCGTCGGCGGCGGCGCCGCCGGCGCGCCGCACGCGCGCCTCGCGCGCCTCGAAGCCCCGCAGCGCGCCGCGGGCCGCCTGCCCGCACACCGCCCGCAGCGCGGGCGGCGTGCCGCTGGGCGCGCCGGGCGCCTCTCGGGCGAGCGGCGGCCGAGGCGCCCGGCGTCGGCCGCCGGCGTGTGCGGTCGGGCACGTCCCCCTACAGGCGGAGCTTCGGCGGAAAAAAGAAAATACCAGAAAGAAAAAAGCAAAAAAACAAATACACAGATGTTGTTTTAAATATCCACAAAATATACAAAAAAATACCGGGAAAGAAAAAGAAAACAAAAACTATTTAGAACAATAATTGTTTTTAAAAAAATCGTCCAAAAAAATCGTCCCCCTACAGGCGGAGCTTCGGCGAAAAATATGCAAAAGGAGATCCAACAGAGTACTCAAAGATGGCCAAAAAGAAATCCAACAGTCGTCCCCACACTGTTCTGTGATGATTATTGATGAGACTCCGCCTGGAGAGGGACGTGCCCGACTTCACGCCGGCGGCCGAGACGGCGGCCGGGACGGCCACGACGTCGACGTCGGCCGACGGCGCCGGCGGCGCCGAGGGCGACGGCGTGGACGCCGTGCCGCCAGGCGCGCAGGGCGCCGCTCGGGCGAGCGGCGGCCCGTGGGCCGAGGTCTCGGGCGATCGCTTCGTCTTACGCTTGTGGATGCCACGACAGTGGACACCCTAACAGTCCGATCATTAAAATGTAAATTGTGTTTAAGATGCTGGATACATGTTCTGAGCATGTTCTGAACATGGTTTTACATGTTTGAAACATGCTTAACCCATGTTTTAAACATCGGGAAATTATTTGGCAACATGCTTCCTCTCCATTGATCGTCCTCCACCAATCTTACGCAGGAGGTCCAACGCGGTGACAAAAACCACGACGGGTTTTTTTCCCAACCATCCTGTGGTGTTGGTGCCCCGCGTCTCCTTCCTTCCTCCTTCCTCCTCCTCCGCCTCCTCTCCCCTCCTGTCATCCTCATCATCATCATCATCATCATCATCATCATCATCATCATCATCATCATCGTCATCATCATCATCATCATCATCATCATCATCATCATCATCATCATCATCATCATCATCATCGTCATTGTCATCGTCATCGTTCATCACCCACTTCGGCACACCCCTCACACGTTTCGTGGCCCCATAGGGACCGAAGGCCCCACTGCGAAGGCCCCAGTGCTGCCGCCCGCATGCGTCCCGCACACCCAATTCGGCACACCCCTCACACGTTTCGTGGCCCCATAGGGAGCCCCACCGAAGGCCCCAGTGCTGCCGCCCGCATGCGTCCCGCACACCCAATTCGGCACACCCCTCACACGTTTCGTGGCCCCATAGGGAGCCCCACCGAAGGCCCCAGTGCTGCCGCCCGCATGCGTCCCGCACACCCAATTCGGCACACCCCTCACACGTTTCGTGGCCCCATAGGGAGCCCCACCGAAGGCCCCAGTGCTGCCGCCCGCATGCGTCCCGCACACCCAATTCGGCACACCCCTCACACGTTTCGTGGCCCCATAGGGAGCCCCACCGAAGGCCCCAGTGCTGCCGCCCGCATGCGTCCCGCACACCCAATTCGGCACACCCCTCACACGTTTCGTGGCCCCATAGGGAGCCCCACCGAAGGCCCCAGTGCTGCCGCCCGCATGCGTCCCGCACACCCAATTCGGCACACCCCTCACACGTTTCGTGGCCCCATAGGGCTCCACACGAAGGCCCAGTGCTGCCGCCCGCATGCGTCACGCACACCCAATTCGGCACACCCCTCACACGCTTCGTGGCCCCATAGGGAGCTCCACCGAAGGCCCCATGGCTGCCGTCCGCATGCGTCCCGCACACCCATTTCGGCACACCCCTCACACGTTTCGTGGCCCCATAGGGAGCTCCACCGAAGGCCCCAGTGCTGCCGTCCGCATGCGTCCCGCACACCGATTTCGGCACACCCCTCACACGTTTCGTGGCCCCATAGGGAGCTCCACCGAAGGCTCCATGGCTGCCGTCCGCATGCGTCCCGCACACCACACCCCTCACACGTTTCGTGGCTCCACAGGGAGAGGCGAAGGCTTCGAAGCCGAAGAGGCCGCAGAAGGACGACGCGCAGGTCGCGGAGGCCCCCGTGTTCCGGGAGGGCGCCGAGGATTCGGGGGCGGGGGCCGCGCAGGTGGAGGCCCAGGGCATCCGCGCTCAGGACGGCTTCGCGAAGCTGGGCGCCAACGTTGTCCTGGAGCAACACTTCGACCCCGAGACGCTCGGGCAGATCTTGCGCTTCGACACCGCCGAGCGCACGCAGGCCTTCGTGAAGGAGCTCAAGAAGGCCGCCACGATGATGGAGAACGGCGCGCTGCCCGGGCCGACTGACGCCGACGCGCCGCGGCGCGCTGCCCGCGCCCTGAAGGAAGACGTCCTCGCTCCGTTCAGGGCCTTGCGCGACCTCGACGCAGACGAGCTGAAGAACCTGGTGGAGACCCAGCGAAAGAGGTTCGCGCCAAGGGGGGCACGAAGGACGCGGACGCGCCCGCGGACGACGCCCCCGCGCCGGACGACGTCGGGGCAGCGGGCGCTGGCGCGATGCCGGCCGAGGCGGCGCAGGCGCGGTGGGAGCCGGCGGAGGAGTTGCAGCGGCCCAGCGACCTCGTCAAGCGCCTCGTTAAAAAGTTCGAGGACGGCGTGGTCAACCCGAGCACGGGGAAGCAGGAGCGCCGCCCTCTGAAGCCCGATCAGGCCCTGTTCGTCACGGCGTTCGCGAACGCCTGCAACGTGGCGTGGGACGAGGAGCAGAAGATCGAGGACGGCAGCATGGCCAAGCACGCGAAGCGGAAGACGTTCCAGTTCCTGCTCCTCGGCCAGGGCGGCAGCGGGAAGACAGCCATGGTGCAGGAGATCGTGCTGCCGGCCATGGACGCGCTGTTCCCTGTGGAAACGGGCAAGGCGAAGTCCACGCTGATAGTCTGCGCGAAGTGGTCCCAGGCCGCGAACATCTCCACGGACGCTCACAAGGCCGTCAGTTGCCACCGGGCGGGAGTCATCGGAGTGCAGTCCTTCAGGAACAAGGACATACCCGCGGGGGGCAGGCTGAAAGCGCTGCAGGACACGTGGGAGGCGGTCAGGTGCTTGATCCTGGAGGAGGTGAGCATGATCTCGCCCAACCTGTACAACATGCTGGCGTTCCGGTCCTACCTGGGACGCAAGGCCGAGTGGGGCGCGGAGGAGCGGGAGTACGACCAGGTCGGCGGCGCCTTCGGCCGGATGCCCATCGTGATCCACCTGGGGGACTTCCTGCAGCTGAAGCCGACGGGAGGCAAGGTGTCGCTCATCTCCAGCTTCGAGGAGCTGGCGGCGGCGGGCATCAACCTCGCTCCAGAGTACCAGGCAGTGATGAAGCTCTTCTGCAACACGCCGCTGTGCTTCGAGCTCCAGGCGTCCAACCGCTTCAAGGACCCGAAACTCAGGGACCTCATGGCGTTCCTGCGCAAGCCGGGGAAGCAGGTCCCTCCGGCCATCCGGGCCACGTGGAACGCCATGCAGCTGAAACCCGATGATCGCCGGCTCCGGGAGGATAGGTTCCAGAACGGCCACATGATCGGGTCCTACTGGGACACCGTGGCGCGCTGGATGAACATGCGTGCTCAGCGGGACGCGGACGTCCTGAAGAAGCCCCTGTTCCTCGTGCAGGCCGCCGACAGGTCTGCACCGACGATGAGCGTCAAGGACGCCGCCAAGATGATGAACTGTGCCAACCCGAAGAATACCGGTGGCATGCACGGACTGCTCCCGGTGCACGAGGGCATGCGGATCCAGCTCCTGGAGGCGCTCGACCTCAAGAACGGCCTCGTCAAGGACGCCGAGGGGCAGATCGCGCACATCGTCGTGGACCCTCGGGATCGGGACGACGTCGAGAGAGCAGAGAGAGACGGGGAGAAGAGAATCTACCTGAAGCGCTTGCCGCTGGGGTTCTGGGTGCGCATGGAGAAGTACGCGAGCGCGCCCTTCGTGGACGACCTGATGCGCCACGACGACAGCCTCGCGAGGGACCTCGCGGGCCCGCTGGTGTTCATCGAGCCCCGCACGTCGGAGGCGTTCACCTTCCGCACCTCCAAGGTCACCCGGACGGGCTTCCCGTTCTCGCACGGCAGGGTCATCACCACGGTGGCGTGCCAGGGGCGCACCATGCGAGAAGGCGACGGGGCGGGGGAACGGCGCTCCGGGGACAGCGAGACCTCCGGGGCGCGAGCAGTCCGCAGCCAGACCTCGGTCCTGTGGACTCTCGCCGCCCTGGGCCGTCGGCTGCCGGGCGCACCGCTCCCTCGGCCGACGTCGCCCAGGCGTGATCCTGGACTGCGGCCGCCACGAGGTCGGGAACGGCAAGAAGGAGGACGACGACTGGTGGCTGGAGCTCTACGTGCTGCTCTCGCGCGCCACGCGACACGAGGACCTCCTGCTCATGCGGGCGCCGCGCATCGAGTTCTTCCTGGCCGGGCCGCCGGCGGGCTTGCGGAAGCAGCTTGGGCAGTTTGCGGCGCGCACGAGCCGGTGCAGGAGGGAGGCCACGGCCCTCGCCAAGGACCTCGGCTTCACTGAGTTTATCCGCGAGGCCTGACCTGAGGAGCGGCCCGCCCCAGCCGCTTCTTCTCTTGGCTGTCCGGCTGTTCGGCCTGGCGCCGCCGACGCTCCGCGCGCGTCGCTGGGACCCTCTCGGGGCGATCTGCGCGCGTCGCCCGAACTCCGCGCTGCGCTCTGTGCAGCGCCTCGCTCGCCCGTCGTCGCTCCGCCCGGCGGCCAGAGCCATGCGCGCTATGAGTTAGCCAGCAAGCAATCTCTGTTCCGCTCAGCGGACGAACCGCGCGCGTCACTGCGACCCCCTCGGGGCGACCTGTGCGAGTCGCGAGGGCTCCGCATGGCGCTGCGCCCGCAGCCTTGGACGTTGGAGTGCGCGGGCAAAGGACATGGAAAAAGGAGGAGAGGAAGCGGGCGCGATCCTCGCGCGGGGCGTGCCGACATGGGCGTCGCGGCGCGCGGGCGCTGCCGTCGAGGTTCCCAGGGAAGCCCCCCTGCAGAGGCTACGCCGCACAATTCGGCACACCTTCATACGGTTCGTTCCCCCATAGGGAGCGCCACCGAAGAAGATATTCACAATTGCGGTACTCACAACTGCATATGGTTGGGTCCTTCGCCAGGATAATGTTCGCAGCTTTCGGCCTCTGGGGGCCCTCGCCGTGCAGCGGGCCCGGCAGCAAAACGGCTCAGGGCGAGAAACGGGTCCTGGGGAAGGGGTCGAGACCTCCCCCGGGGGGCCGCGCTGAAAGAAGCACGGCATCGGACCTCCGGGTGCAAACTTGGACGTTCCTGCTTGCCCCTCTTGGGCCTCCACGGGGGCGCCTCGTCGCCACGCCTGGATCCGCCTCGAAATTCTGGCCGGGACGCTCCCCGGGGCAGGTCCGGGCCGACCTCGACCGCCGGCCCCAGCTCTCCGACCACCTCGGTCGCCGACCTTGCGGAGGGGCTACCGTTCAGTGTCCGACTGCGGGGTCTACACCCCTCGGAAACTGGCCCTGGTGTCGCGGGCGCAAGGCCGGCGGAACCTGGCGGAAGACGGCAGAAGACGGCGGAAGACGGCCGTAAGCTTGCAGTTGCGGCCTCGGGCGCGCTTCAACAGGCCCTGGAGAACCCCAAGTCGACCCAAGAGTGCTCAAAAGGCCCTCAAGATAGCTTCAAGACGGCCCCAGAGGCCCCCAAGATGCCCCAAGAGGCTCCCGAGAGGACCTCGAACAGGCGAAAATCATGTCATTCCGATCGGAAAACGGATGTGTGCTAGCTTGTTCTCTTTCTGGTCTTCACAGCGTCCACGACGGCCCAAGAGGCCCCCAAGATCGGCCCAAGACTGCACAGGAGGGCCCCAAGGCAGCCCGAGGGAGGCCCCAAAGCCCAAGAGAACCATCACATCGGCCAACGACTGCTCCAGAGGCCCCCAGAAGCCCGAAGACAGTCCAAGAGAGGCTCCAGAGGACTTCGAAAGGCTCCCAGGAGAACCATGAGGGCGCCGCGGAAAGCCCCCAAGAGGGTCCAAGAAATCCTCCAGAGCGCCCCAAGACGGCCCCAGCCCTCCAAGACGGCCCAAGACGGCCCCAGGCAGCCCAGACGGGCCCGAGTCCATTCTCGCCCTGCTTCACTCCCCCCTCTCTCTTCCCCCTTCCGAGCCTCCTTACCCTCTAAAGGAACCCCGTCGAGGCTTCAATCAGGCAAGGCTTCACGCAGGAAACTGGCAATGCGGGAACGAACGTACGACTTTATATTTCCAGCTCTTCCCTGACAACTCTCTGCCTGGCAAGCCAGGCCCACCGCAAGAGAGCCCCAAGACAGCCAAAGGGAAACCTCAGAAAGCTCCAAAGGCTCCCAAGAGAACCCTCAGATCGGCTCAAGACTGCCAAGAGGCCCAAAGAACCAAACGACAGTCTAAGAGAGGCTTGAAAAAGGACTTCGAAAGGCTCACAGGAGAACCTGAAGGCGCCACAGAAGGCCCCCAAGAGAATCCCAAGAGATTCCCCAGAGCGCCCCAAGGTGGCCTCAGCCTCTCATGACGGCCCAAGACGGACCAAGACGGCCCCAGGCAGCCCAGACGGGCCCGAATCCATTCTCGCCCTGCTTCACTCCCGGGACTCTCTCTTCCCCGTTCCGTGCCTCCTTAGCCTCTTCAGGAACCCCGCCGAGGCTTCAATCGGGCAAGGCTTCACGCAGGAAGCGGACAGCGTGGGAATGAACATACGACTCCGTGTTTCCAGCTCTGCCCTGACAACTCTCTGCCTCGCAAGCCAGGCCCACCGCAAGGGAACACTGAGAAGCCCCACTGGACTCTCGA